GATATGAGCAGCGGGGTGACGATAGCGAGCAGCAGGGCGACGATAGCGAGCACCAGGGCGACGATAGCGAGCACAAGGGCGACGATAGTGAGCATCAAGGCGACGATAGCGACAACCAGGGCGACGATAGCGAGCACCAGGGCGACGATAGCAAGCACCAGGGCGACGATAGCGAGCAGCGGGGCGAAGCATCTGTGCGACGGTGGCGAAGCATCTCGCGTCCCACCATGTCACCTCCCGGAATAATCCAATTTCCCCCTCTCCAATGCCTCCCCCTTTCCGATCCCTTGCCCGGTCCTCAGCATCAACTTCTCTTGGGCAGTGCCCTCCCTGTTTTCCTCTCCCTTTCCCCCTGTCCTCCTCTCCTTTTCCCCCTGTCCTCCTCTCCCTTTCCCCCTGTCCTCCTCTCCCTTTCCCCCGGTCCTCCTCTCCCTTTCCCCCTGTCCTCCTCTCCCTTTCCCCCTGTCCTCCTCTCCCTTTCCCCCTGTCCTCCTCTCCCTTTCCCCCTGTCCTCCTCTCCATTTCCCCCTGTCCTCCTCTCCATTTCCCCCTGACCTCCTCTCCCTTTCCCCCTGTCCTCCTCTCCCTTTCCCCCAGTCCTCCTCTCCATTTCCCCCTGTCCTTCTCTCCCTTTCCCCCTGTCCTTCCCTCCCACCTTTCCTCCCCCTCTCTCACATCCCTTCCCTTTCCTACTGTCCTCTCCCACCATTCACGCTTCTCTCAGCCATCCCTTTCCCCCCTCCCCTGCCCCTCGCCTTCCCCCACTACCGTCCCTTCCCTTTCCACTACGTTCTCTCGTCCAGCCCAGCCGACAGTACCAGCTTTGCTTGGCCACTGAAGGCTGTCTATCATATCTCAGTTTCCATGCTCTCTTCAATTTCCCTACCTAAAATTCTTCAATAATGCGCAACGTTTCCTTCCCCTTTTCCCCTCCCCCCTCCTCCCTGTAAATGGACAGCTGCACCAATAGTGGATCGTAGTGTAAAAATCGGCTCTCCTTGGATTATGCCATGTTGTTTGCTTGCGATCCTTTGCATGATAATGATTTCAATATGACATTCCAAGTTTTGCAGGTCTGTACATTTGATGTTCTTTCTCCCCATTATAAATAATACTCTTGCAAATGGATGGATAAATAAACCAAAATAAACCTTGTAAGTGAAATATGTATTCTGCAAAGCTTTTATGAAACATAAGGTTTATCGTTTTGCTATGTGGAGGTGTTATTGGCAGAACAATCAGCGAAAGGGAGTATGGGGGTGTTGATGTGGTCCCATTTCCCGTTTCGTGTGTGTTCCCCCCTTCCCTTCCCCCCACCCCTTCCCCCCCACTTTTCCTTTCGAGGTTCGCGACATTCGCCTTGGATGTTTTCATCGCAACACAACTTACACACTCGCTAGCCAATTGACTACCAGTACGGAACAAGACAAAACCTGGCTTGTCACTGTTCCTAAGATAGTTGCACCGCGGCTTTAACGTGACCCTGAACCCCCTTCCCCCAACCGCCCTCGTTTTCCCCCAACTTGCAATCTTGAAATTGCTGGGGTTGCACGCACCGGATTGGGTTTGTTTTTTCGCTCGAACTCGTCTATCTGTGTACACAAGATGCCCAGCCCCTGCGCGCGAATTTGCCCTGCCACGATGGAAACTCTGCACCCGTGTATTAGGGTGCCAGCCAGTTGCACCCCATTTACAAGCACCTCGAGCAATACGAACCACAAAAACCGAAGTTTGACAGAGACCAACGTCAAACAGTCAACAGAGAGTTACAAAATCTTTTAAAAGCCCTTTTTGCTAAGTGCGAATTGACGAAAACTTAGAGAATTGCAAGAATCACTTAAAGCCGTGGCCCAACGATCAACTTCAACTTCAATGTATTATAGCTTGGAAGAGGTTGACCCAGGCAGTTCAGAGCCGAGAAGTTTGTCCTCTTCTGGTTTTCCAGTTTTTTCGTCCAATAGAATTCAAGTTACTCACATGCCATTTTTGTCCCCCTACTGTTCCTACTGTATGACCTTCTTTGCTGGCCTGAACTCTGTATATATAACAGAATCACGTGCTGTCGAGCAGACGTGGCTGAAAACAACTAAACGACTAGGGCTTCTTCGGACATTTGCGAACATGAGATTTTTCAAACCTCTTGTGCGGCTCGAACATTTTGTTCTTGAAGAACAGTGACATAAAGAAACGTTTCATACGTTTCAATTGATCAGTTGAATTTTTTAACCCCCTTCCCCCAACCGCCCTCGTTTTCCCCCAACTTGCAATCTTGAAATTGCTGGGGTTACACGCACCGGATTGGGTTTGTTTTTTCGCTCGAACTCGTCTATCTGTGTACACAAGATGCCCAGCCCCTGCGCGCGAATTTGCCCTGCCACGATGGAAACTCTGCACCCGTGTATTAGGGTGCCAGCCAGTTGCACCCCATTTACAAGCACCTCGAGCAATACGAACCACAAAAACCGAAGTTTGACAGAGACCAACGTCAAACAGTCAACAGAGAGTTACAAAATCTTTTAAAAGCCCTTTTTGCTAAGTGCGAATTGACGAAAACTTAGAGAATTGCAAGAATCACTTAAGAGCCCTCTTGGCAAGGCAACCTTGGGCTAGTCAAACGGGCATCTTGTGTATCCACATTCGTATGGCATATGGATAGGGTGTGGTCATTTGCAAAACTGCCACGCTGGACCCGAATATCTGCACTTTTCAGGCTCTTGTGGGAACTTTTACTGTGGGACCTTCCTGTCAAGGCTTAGGTTTGGTTCTGAAAGATGGCATGGCCCTCCTCGACTACACTGAGATCGGTAAATTGCGCCGAGAGTTATCCCCTGTAACGACCCCCGCAACGCTCCCCACCCCATCAACCCAACCGAGGGGGTGACCCCCTCCCCTCCCCTTCCTCCATACGCCTGACCGACCACATCCAGCCAGCTATGCCTGGCACCCTGCTGCCGCTCCACAGCATGTCACTGGACCAAAAGCAAGGCGGCGCCACATTTGTCGATGCAAAAGTTTCCGATGAAGTGCTCCACGTGCTTACTAAGCACTCATTTCGACTCTAACATCAGTCATTTTCGTAGCAGTAGTCTCAGCCGCAACGCTTTCATCATCTCCAGTTCTAATAGAAACTTGCTCAGCAGTGGCGTTCAACACACAGTCTGGATCTGGCAGGCCTAGGCCGTCGAATGGAGTCTATTTCAGCCAGGCTCAACACGACTCTTGTTTTAGAATCCTCTGCAGAGAAAACGGATCAGAGCATGAGTTCGACGGATCAGCGAGCCCCAAGCATTGACAGCGTGGAGCAGGATCATCCGCCGGAAACTGTCCGTGCAAGCGGCCAACAAGAGATGCAAGAGCAAGAGCAGCAGCACCAGCAGCATCAGCCGCAGCACCAGCACCATCAGCAGCAGCAACAACAACATCAGCACGGCAATTTGATATGTCCGATGCCGCGGTGGCCCCAGCCTGCTACCTTCAGAGTTTCAGCTTCAGGATCAAGTTCAGAGACACATCATATTCAGAATCAGCATGATGCTAATGCTGAGTTACCATCAGCAACGATGGGCTTGACTCAAATGGCACAATACACGCCGAATGCGCCACAGACGCAGTTCCACACGCATCGCGCAACTGCGAATCAGGTGCAACCACCTGAAGAGTACAAATGGAAAAAGACATCACACAAGCGCATTGTGGGCCTACAGATGAAAAGGTGAGGCAATCTTCTTGCCACCCTTTCCGAACAAAGTTGAAGTCTCATGCAACACCCTGATGTTGCTGTTGTTAAAAAGGCGACTCGCCTATTGTCCACCATGATATTTCTTGCATACTCACTGGGTATGAAAAGAAAAGCTGCTTCAGAATAGAGATAGTCAGCGTGATTGTGTCAGATCTACCCTGTGGAACAATTTGTGGGCCTGTGACATTTTGTTCCAAAACCCTCCTTTTAGAGGTTTGCAAGTCAATCTAGACTTGGCGCTTGTGCTTAACAAGCTGCTGCTGTTATTTCTCACTGAGTCTTGCAGGTTGTACTTCGTGTGCGCATCCAAGGAAACAACAGGCTGCACCGCAAAGAAGATAGAAGACCGCGTGGCTGGAGCGGCGAGGCATCGCCGCTCAAACACCATCCCCCGGCCAAGGCATCAGGGCGGTGCAGCCAGCTCGAAAGCTACATTCAGAGACGGTGCTGCTGTTTCAAGAGGGTGCAGCCCCACTGCGGATGCTGCAGCGGCTACTGTGGAGAGTAGCCTAGAAGACAACGAGGTGACAGACAATGTGGAGATGCCAAGGACTGAGATGCGTGTGGTGGTGAGGACAGTATACCACGGCTCACATAACCACCCGCCACCAATTCCCGACGTTTCTCGAACGAGCTTGGTTGGTGTATCTTCCTCCGGCCCTGCTGCTGTAGCAACCTGGTACCCTGAAACATCCCTCGCTCCAGCCACACAGGGTCCTCCTGCTGCATTACCCACCCCTCATTCAGCATGGCCTGCTCTGGAATCCTTTACTCCCACTTCTGCCTCTGCCTCTGCATCCATTTCTCCCACCACATCAGCTCCTGCATCCATTTCTCCCACTTTATCATCAGCTCCTGCATCCTTCACTCCTGCCTCTGCCAATGCATCCATTTCTCCCACTACATCATCTGTTCCTTCACCCTTTTCTGCCACTACAGACTGTGCTCTTGCATCCCTTTCTCCCACTACAACCTGCGCTCCTCCTACATTTTCCGCTCGCACTACAACCTGCACTCCTGCTACTATTGCGGATACAACCTGCGCTCCTCCTACATTTTCCGCTCGCACTACACCCTGCACTCGCACTCCCAATACAATCTCCCTTCCTGCTACGACCTTCACTCCAGCTATGAGCCAACTTCCTGCTACAGTCTGCGTGTCGCCTGTAGCCAGGTATCCACCCTCAGTTCCCAGCAATTTAGCTTCCCCTTCATCAGATTTTAATAGTCAATCATTCAGCGCTCTGAATCTGCCCTTTAATCAGGGTCCATTCTCCTGCCCCCCTTCTCGGTCCACCACACCTCCTCCTCCATCCCCATTTCCTCCGTTGCTCGATCCTGCACACTTGCCCCGCTTAGCTTCTGAAGCGCCGAACGCTCCCCAGCCTTCATTAGTTCCAGCGGGCAACATAACGTACACTCAAACAGAGCAAGCACGTCCCATGCTTTTTGATGCCTCAGCAATCACAGGCGGTGACGGGCAAACTCGGATAAATAGGTGCATCTGCTTGCAAAAGCACGGGCATCACCGGGTGGATGGACAGCAGCCGCCGCCGCCGCCGCAGCAGCAGCAGCAGCAGCCGCCGCAGCAGCAGCAGCAGCAGCAGCAGCCGCCGCCGCCGCAGCAGCAGCAGCAGCAGCAGCAGCCGCCGCCGCCGCAGCAGCAGCAGCAGCAGCAGCAGCAGCCGCAGCAGCAGCAGCAGCAGCAGCAGCAGCAGCAGCAGCAGCAGCAGCAGCAGCAGCAGCAGCAGCAGCAGAGGCAGGCGCAGCAGCAACAACCGCAGCATGAGCAGAGGCAGATGCAGCAGCAGACACAGGCACAGCAGCAGCAGCAGCAGCAGCAGCAGCAGCAGCAGCAGCAGCAGCATATGCATCAAGCGCCCCCATTTCTGTTCTGCGCTGAGCACCTTCTTTTCCAAGAGGCTGCTCCCACCCTTGGCGTTACCAACACTGGTATAACCACCACTGGTGTAACCACCACTAGCATGACCACCCCTGGCATAACCACCCTTGGCATAACCACTGGCATAACCACCCCTGGCATAACCACTAGCATAACCACCCCTGGCACAAGCACTAGCATAACCACCCCTGGCATAACCACTAGCATAACCACCCCTGGCATAACCACCACTGGCATAACCACCCCTGGCATAACCACCACTGGTGTAACCACCACTGGTGTAACTATCCCACTTATAGATACGTGTGTCCCTGGTGCTGAGGAGTTCAGCCCCTTAGTGGATCCAGCTGATGCCCTTGCCATGGCTGCATGCGGTATAGTTCCCTGGGAGCCATGTGATGCCTGGACTGTCCAGCCAATCACTGATTGTGCTACACCGGATGCAGCCCTTTTGTTGAAATACTCGCACCTGCTTCCATCCCAGCAGCAATCTATTCAGTCTGAGCCACAGCAGCAGCAGCAGCAGCAGCAGCCAATGCAGAATCAACATCTTTCTCTGGAGCTGCAACAGAAACTTATGATGGACCAGCAGCAGCAGCCGCAGCAGCCGCAGCAGCAGCAGCAGCAACAGCAACAGCCAGTGTGGAATCAAAATATTTCTCTGGAGCAGCTACAGCATCTCATGCTGGACCATCAGCACCAGCAGCAGCCACAGCAGCAGCCGCAGCAGCAGCCGCAGCAGCAGCCGCAGCAGCAGCCGCAGCAGCAGCCGCAGCAGCAGATACAGCAACAGCAGCAGCAGCTACAGCCGGAGCAGCTACTGCAGCAGGTTCAGCAGCAGCTGGAGCAGCCACTTCAGCAGGTTCAGCAACAGTTGGAGCAGCAGCAGCAGCAGCAGCAGCAGCCAGAGCAGCATCAACAACTTCAGCCTCAGAAGCAACAGAAGCAGCAGCCGGATCAGCTAATGCAGCGAGCTGTTTATATGGCTGATTCGGGGGGCAGCAGTAGTGGCTACACTGGCAGCCGCACTCACGTTCCTGGGCTTCCCACAGGCCACACAACTCTGCATGGCTTGGGTGCAGCTGCAGGGCCCACGAGAACAGATCCTGAGGGTAGAGGGTTTAGGAGCGCAGATGCACACACCAGTCCAAGTACGAGCGTACAGCCTAGTACCGTCCAGGATGGGGGTAGCCACACTGACATGCTTCAACTGAGTAGGGTTGACAGCCTGGGCATACCTGTTGGGAGCATGAGCTGCCAACTGTATAGGGCTGACAGCATGGGTATGACCATGGGGAGCATGAGCTACAGCTCCATGGACTCCTGCATGCATGGGACCGTTCCAGATGCATGCCTGGATGACCTTTTCCTGATGGCAGACGAGATTGCCAAGTCTGGAGTGCTGATTCAAAGGAATGATGACTCGGAGATGGTCCCCATGCCAGCTGCACACAAAGCTAGTGACACTGATCTTGTCGTGTTTGACTGTACTGAGGACGTGGTGTATAGGGAGCAGAGGACTTCCCAGTGACAGTGCTGCCATGCTGGGAGGAGGTGGTGCCCGTGCCAGCTGTTCACAAAGTGAGCGTCACTAATCTAGTTGTGCTTGACTGCTTGCTTCCCAGCTTCACTCTTTTCAGTCTGAGCTGCAGCAGCAGCAGCAGCAGCAGCAACAGCCAATGAAAAATCACCCTCTTCAGCAGAGCAGCAACAAAATCTTATGTTTGATCAGCAGGAGCAGCAGGGACAGCCGCAGGGGCGGCAGCAGCAGAAGCAGGAGCAGCAGCAGCAGCAGCAGCAGCAGCAGCAGCAGCAGCAGCAGCAGCAGCAGCAGCAGCAGCAGCAGCAGCAGCAGCAGCAGCAACAGCCAATGAAAAATCACCCTCTTCAGCAGAGCAGCAGCAAAATCTTATGTTTGATCAGCAGGAGCAGCAGGGACAGCCACAGGGGCCGCAGCAGCAGTAGCAGCAGCAGCAGCAGCAGCAGCAGCAGCAGCAGCAGCAGCAGCAGCAGCAGCCAGGGCAGCAGCTGGAGCAGCAGCAGAAGCCGGATCACCAAACGCAGCGAGCTGTTTATATGCATTTGTGGGGCAGTGTGGCTAGGTATAGTGGCAGCCGTGCTCACCTCACTCCTGGGTTTCCCACAGGCCACACAACGCTGCATGGCTTGGGTGCAAGTGCATGGCCCTCGGGAATAGATGCTGGGGGTAATAGATAGGGTTTAGGAGCTCATGTGCAGGCGCGAGCGGCCAGCCTAGTTTTCAGGAGGGGGACACGAGTGCAAGCACGAGCATTGACACATGCGAACTGAATAGGGTTGACAACACACATGGGCATGACCATGGGGAGCATGAGCTACAGTTCCATGAACTCATGCATGCATGCATGCTTCACCATGCATGCTTCACCATGCATGCATGGGTCAGTCCAGAGGCATGCTTGGATGACCTTTCCTGATGGCAGGCGACATTGCCAAGTCGGGGGTGCTGATTCAAGGGAGTGTTAATCTAGAAAAGCTGCCTGTACAGTTGGACGATGCCCGGAGCAGGTCTGGGTCTCTCATTCAAGGGAGTGCTGATTAAGAAGTGGTGTCCGTGCCAGCTGCACACACGTCCGGCGATGCGGATCTACTCATGTTTGACTGCACAGAGGCCGTGCTGTATAGGGAGCAGAGGACTTCCCAGTGATGTAGCATTTGAGGCGCCCCAGTAGTCGTTCTGGGGCCCCTCAAAGGACTGCCCTGTAGGCGTAGGAGCTGTATAGGGCGAGGAGGTCTTCCCAGTAACGTAGCTCCCATGCTCGCTCATGCTTACGTCTTCCTTTTCGTCTATGCTTTGTATATGTATAAGTTAAATCCACATTTTTTTTTTTAAGGGCTTGGGAGATCCCCTTCCAGCAGGTCAGGCCCGGGCTTCATAAGCGAAGTCTCTAGAACACAGCTGATGCGGTGAGAAGACATACATGGATGTGTGTCATGCATTTGGTGTGAAGGTATGCATTTGGTGTGAAGGTATGCATTTGGTGTGAAGGTATGCACTTGGTGTGAAGGTATGCATTTGGTGTGAAGGTATGCATTTGGTGTGAAGGTATGCATTCAATGTGAAGGTATGCATTCAATGTGAAGGTATGCATTCAATGTGAAGGTATGCATTCAATGTGAAGGTATGCATTCAATGTGAAGGTATGCATTCAATGTGAAGGTATGCATTCAATGTGAAGGTATGCATTCAATGTGAAGGTATGCATTCAATGTGAAGGTATGCATTCAATGTGAAGGTATGCATGAATTTGGTGTGAAAGAGTGCATGCGTGCAGTATGAAGGTGTGCATGCATGCGGTGTGACGGCATGCATATAAGGTAATCATGCATTTGGGTTGAAAGCATTCATATCATGTACTCGTGGCATCGTGTAAAGGCATGCCTATCATGTAATCACGCCTTTGGTGGGTATGCAATGAAATGATAATCGAATATGTAGTTATGCATTTTGTGTGAAGGCACTTCTTATGTAGTCACGCTTTTGGTGTGAAAGCGTGTCAACATGCATAAGGTGTGAAGGCATGCACGTCATGCAGTCATGCGTTTGGTGTGGCGACATGAATGAATGTTATGTAGTCATGCATTTGGTGTGAAGGCATGCATATCATGCACTCATGCATTTGGTGTAAAGGCATGTCTATCATGTAGTTATGCATTCGGTATGAAGGCATGTATGGATGCATTTGGTGTGATGGCATGCATATCATGCGGTCGACCATTTGGTGAGAACACAAGCATATCATGCAGACAAGCGTTTGGTGTGACAGGATGCATGTCGTTTAGTCATGCATTTGGTGTGACTGCATGCATATCACATAGTCATGCATTTAATGTGAGGGCATGTAAAGAATCTAGCCATGCATTTTCTGTGAAGTCATGCGTTTGGTGTGAAGGCATGCCTATCATTTCATGCATTTCATGTGAAGGCATGTACACCATGTACTCATGCATTTGGTATGGACTCTACAAATCGAAGGAAAGCAAAACACACGTGTCTGTCTACCATCCTACGCTCGTGACTGGAACACCCATCTCTATCTACCATCCTACGCTCATGACTGAAACACCCATCTCTATCTACCATCCTACGCTCGTGACTGAAACACCCATCTCTATCTACCATCCTACGCTCATGACTGAAACGCCCATCTCTATCTACCATCCTACGCTCGTGACTGAAACTCCCATCTCTATCTACCGTACCATCCTACACGCATGACTGAAACGGCCAATCACTAATGATACCAATCACTGATGCTTCAGGAGGAGCTGTGAACAAAAATATGAGCACCTGTGTTGACATGAATGCTTTGTTGGTTACAGCCAAGGCTTGTAAACATAATGCACACGCAATATTGGGTTTATGCATTTGCGATAACTGGGCTGGTGTGTTCCTTTCGCACAGCTAGATAATGACACAACTCAGTTCAATAAAATCACAAAACAAATTGCACATAACCTAATTACCAGCGGCACAAGAAGGGCATCCTAGCAGGGGTCATAAAGGAACCAAAGTTCCTAGGGTGGACTCTGAAGGCGCCAAGCAGAGCGACGTGTTCACATGTCAAAACAAATATTTAAATGGAAAGTTCACACCTGCTTGGGTCATCTAGGTGCTGTCTAGCATAATATTTATTTTACCCTTTGGATCCACTCCATTGAAAGATGGACCGGCAACGACAACTCGTCCGCTGTCCGGCCCTACATCTCAGCCTACTCCAAACCCCCAGCGCTCGGCTCGTAGAGCACCACATAAATCCATGCATTGCCATTACCATTATCTTGGTACATGATCTTCGCTCTGTCCTCCATTCTTACCTCGATAGTGCAATCCTCTTTCGCTTAATTGCACCAGTAACACCCATGCATAAATACTTTATATCATTGTAGTCAAGAGAAATCCCAACACTGCATTATTGTTACATATGTGGTAACCATGTTTGAGATCACCACAAGACCTGTTTTGTACTCCCCAGAACACCAAGACGTTCCGCTTTCCTGGGCTGCCGCGAGCCGCGTCCCGTATTTGCCTCGGAATATCTATCCTTTTTTGTTCAATTTACCTTTCAATAATCTCCGCCATGGATCGGTCGAAGCCCGTGAAGTACGGCCTCGAGATTCGCCGCAAGCCGCAAAGCCATCGCCCTGCGACGGCGGCGAAGCCGTTACCACCCGTGCGAGATGCGAAGCTGCAAACGCTTTTCGGCAATGATGACGACGACGATGTGGAGGCCGATATCGCGAGGCAGAACCTCAAGAAGCGAAGCCAGCGTGAGGTGCGGCGTGATCTGCGGGCGGGTTGTGGACATGTCAAAATCGTGGTGGTGATGGCGGAATTTAGCTGATGACGGGTGACGACACGGCGATTACGCGTAGACGACGGCGAGTAGGCTCGACGCGGCGAGTAGGCGGCCACGTCAAGGCAGAGTTTCAAGAAGGGCCGACACAGCAGCTACTAGGCTACCCGCATATTTTCCAACTTGTGGACGGCCCCTTATTGCGATCAAGCGGCAGCACTAGCGCCCGTCTTATACCTTGTTTCGAAATCATTTTGTCCCTTGTCCTCTTCTGTTTACCGCATCATGTGGTGGTGGGTGCAGACGGAGCAGCAGCACGAGGCAGCTTCCAAGGCGCCTTACAACTCGTCTCATTTTATCCCGTGCGCTCTCCTACCGCCGCCCTTGTTGTGTGTGCAGACGGAGCAGCAGCACGAGGCAGCGATGGCGGAGGACCCGTCAGTGTTTGACTACGACGGGGTGTACGACACCATCCACGCCGCCAGGACCTCGCGAGCCAAAGAGGCCGTGCAGAGACAGGTGGGTGCAGTGCAGTGTAGTGCGGTGCAGTGCAGTGTAATGTGGTGCAGTGCGGTTCTGCACGGTTTTATTTTTATGTAAGGCACCTCAAGCAGCAGGCCATGGCGGAGGATCCATCAGTGTTTGACTACGACGGGGTGTTCGACCACATTCGCGCCGCCAAGGATTCCGTGCAAAGACAGGTGCGTGCAGTGCGGTCCTGTGCGGTGCTGCGCGTTTTGTTTCTAAGGCGACTCGAAGGACCCATCTATGATTGGGTGTTCGAGAAGGAGGTTGTGTGTGAGTGGCTCTTGTTGCCAAATGAGAGGAATCTGAAACCACAGGCCCTTGTCCCTTGCTTTTGCCTTGCTCCTTCCATTTTGCCTTCGATTCACGCCTACTGCAGGCATGGTACATTCCGAACCTGCTGAAACCACTAAGGAGAGGGAGAAGGAGAAGGCATTGGTGCAGGAGCGGCTGCTGGCGAAGGAGAGGGCGAAGGAAGGGGAAGAGAACACAAGAAAACCTTGTCCTGTCTCTTGTATCGGTCGTGTCCTTTCCCTTGCATTCGCCTCTCATTCGCCCGGACTGCAGGCGCGGTACATTCCAAACCTGTTAAAGACGACCAAGGAGAGGGAGAAGGAGAAGGAGCTGGTGCAGGAGCGGCTGCTGGCGAAGGAGAGGGAAGCAAACACAGTTGGGCCTCGTGCCGTCCCTTTCTGTTGGTCTGGTCTGGACCCTATGTGCCTGTTTCTCCCTGACGGCAGGCCCGCTACATTCCAAACCTGTTAAAGACGACCAAGGAGAGGGAGAAGGAGAAGGAGCTGGTGCAGGAGCGGCTGCTGGCGAAGGAGAGGGCGAAGGAGGAGGAGGAGTTCGCGGGCAAGGAGCGGTTTGTCACGCGCGCTTACCGCGAGAAGCTGGTGGAGCGGCAGCGATGGCTGGCGGAGGAGAAGAGGAAGGAGGCTGAGGAGGCGGCTAACGATGTGAGGAGGGACGGCTGCTGGGTGCTTGTGGAATGGGGTGTTGCGATGGGGATTGGGGATGGGCATGGGCATGGGCATGGGCATGGGCATGGGCATGGGCATGGGCATGGGCACTGGCATGAGCGTTTTTCCCGCCCCCTCCCTTGCCCTTCTCCCCTCCCCCTCCCTTGCCTTTCTCCTCTTCTCCCCCGTGCCCATGTCCCCGCCCCCTCCCTTGCCCTTTTCCCCTCCCTTTTTCTTTCCATTTTACTCTGTACAGTCAAGTAATGATGATTGAACCTCTCTTTCCCCTGCTTTTGAAGAGCATAATTTTGATTTCTGCTTCAACCCCTCTTCCCGCCCTGCTGCCCCTTTCCTCACTTCCCCTCCTCCTCCCCCGCCCCTTTCCCTTCCGCCCCAACCTCCCTTTTTGCAACGTCTACTCTTCATCTCTGCTTTGCCCCCCTTTCCACCCTGCCATTCCCCCCTTCCCCCCTTGTTCCCCATTACCCCATTTCCCCCATTCCTTTCTTCCCCTTCCCCGCTTTTTCCCCTTTCCCCCTCTTCCCCCCTTCCTCGTCCTTCCGTTCCTTCCCCCTCCTGCCCCCACGTCTCCTCCAGGTGACCAAGCGGTCTGACCTGACAGATCTGTACCGCAACCTGTACCGGGCACAGGATGCTCAAGCAAAGTCCCCAGGCGTGCGGGATGCTCAAGCAGACACAGGGGTGAAGCCCAGTGGGAGGTTGGGGAAAGAGGAGGGGAGGGCAGGAGTGGAGGAGGGCAGGGAGAAGCAGAGAGCAGGGAGCAAGGAGCGTGAGCTGCCAGTGGGAGAGCCGATGGGGCGGGGCAAGCAGGGGGCGGCAGCTGCTGTGTTGTCAGACGGACGGCAGAGGATGCTAAGGGGAGATTTGCCAGCGGTGGATGGGGATGGGGAACAGGAAGGTGCTGTGAGTGCGGGGAGGGATCGGGAGGAGAGTGGTGGAGAGGAAGGAAGTGGGGGTGTGGGAAGGGGTGATGTTGCTGTGCGTGCTGCTGCTGGTCCCGGTGCGAGCAGGGGGGATGGCTTGCCTCTGAGAAGCAGCCAGGAAGGTGCGGGCGAGGATGAGACGAGACAGGCTGGTGGAGTAGGGCGTGAGGGGGGTTCTGCTGGTGGGGGGAATGGTGGTGCTGGGGTTTCTGGTGAACATTCTTTGCCAGGTGTCAGAAAGCCATTGGAGGGTGGTGATAGTAAGAGTGTGAAGGTATCAGCAGAAGACAAGGTGAGTGATGCTCGTGCCCGGTTTCTCGCGAGGAAGAAGCAGAAAAGCGTTCCATGATGCAGAAATATCTAAAATGAGGATATGCTAATGTACGGTAATGAGTTGTTCACAAGTGTTAGTGTTTGACACTAGTGCTATAGAGCCTCATATGATTTGATGTGTAAGCCGGAAGTTTGCCTTGTATACAAAGATTTTGCATGTTTCCCAAACTATGAAACCTCCTTCTATCGATTAGCGAAGCGCCTTCTTCGAACAGGCGGTTCGTCAGGTGTCAGATCGATGCCACATCTGTCTGTCGGTCGGTTCGGTGCATTCGCCTCGATCAGCAGCCGTCACGTCAGGTCGGCTCAGCTGCACCCCTGCTGTAGGGCCAACTTTCATTTCTTGGAAATTCCTCCCTCCCGTTGGCCCGAGGAGTCAGCTGGTCGCAGCGCGTGCTGGTCAAAATTGCGCAGCGAAATTTATATCCCTCGCGCGGCTCCACGAGGAGGCACAAGCAAAATAGGCAACCCTTTCCCACCGATCCGTAACCACGTTCACCTTCTGAGTTTCCTTTCAGAAAGCGTATGGAAGTTGTCGGGTTGATGCTAGTAAACTCTCCGCTAATTCGCACCATGTCCTGTTCTTCCAAAGCTGGATATTAGCGGCTTGGCGTGGCACCGTGGAAGTCCGGAATGCACTAGACTATATCTGCTGCTTTTGAGGCGCCTCATAAGTAGTCAACGGTTGAGCACCCAGGCTAATGATGGTATATATTCGACGTTTGCAATTGTATGTGAATTGATCGTATTGCGCCGGCGCCGGGCGACCACGACACGATGGCGTCGCAAGCTGCGTTGCGTTCCGTTTCGCACGATTCTGCATGGAATTTTGCTGAACCACACGGGACGACGAAGGTGCATGTCACACCGCGTCGTGGCGACAACTTGGAAGTTTGCGAACTCGTAATCGCTCCAAATTCAGAATGTAGCGACAGTTTGTGCAATTCTGATGAGGGCTGCGAATCGCCTGATACCCTCTCGCATGCGCTCACCCCATCACCCCAAGTCAGCCCCTCCTCCTCTTCATCCTCCTCTCCCTCCCGCTCTCACCTCTCCCCGCTAGTTGCGACCTCGAAGGATTCAATACAGCAGCTACGAAAGCTCCTCGCTTCAGCAGCCGTGCAGAACCAAAAGGATGGGCACTGGTGTTACAGTAACAAACGGGGTGATACACGTGGCACACGGGGCGATACACGTGGCAGGCGTAGCGACACACGTGGCAAACTGAGCGACGGAGTCGCGGGTTCAGGAAGATTAGTAGGATCGCAGCCGGCTCGCACTCGCGCTCCAGAGTCCGACCGGACCCGCTGTGACGGCAGCGACGAAACGCAGCGCGGCTGCATTTGCAGGGAGGTACAAATGCTTATTTGCGGTTGTATGGAAGAGACCCACATTGGTGCCGCGGAGCCCTATAAGGGGTACATCGGCGCCAGCGAGAACGGCGAGGGCAACGATTGTCGCATGACTGCGACCAATCAGCGACGCCGCTCGGAGATCACCGGACCGCTTGTCCCACATGAGGGGTCGAGGCAGGAAGAGGAAGCTTCGCGGAAGGAGTGGGTAGAGCGCTACCTAAGCGACTGTCTGCACACGTGCGCCGAGAGTAGCAGTAGTTGGTGCTGGGGCGGCGGAACTAGTAGTAATCGCGAAAGCGGAGGTGATAATTGCGGAGGCGGAAGTGATGCCCGGAAGTGATACACAGGAAAGCGAGCAGGGAGAGGTTTCTGCCAGCGGGGGAAGGGCGTGCGGAAAAGTTCTTCGCAGTATGATGTGTGTGGGGGGGAAACGGGGGAGGGCTCGGGGAAAAGCTCCGCTCAACGAGTTGAGGGGGAGCGCATGCAGCAAACTTGAAAATTCAAACTTGAACTCAAAACAACTCAAACTTGGCAAACTTTCACGCTTGAACTAGGTTCTTATTAACTTGAAGTGCGTTTTCCGAGCTACGCAGAGCCATTTTCGCTAAGATTTCTCGCGTTTCATGGTCTATTGATGTGCTCACGAATATCTGCGCAATTTCGTACCTCGTAAACACCTTTTTGTCGTATTCGAAGCGCATTGCGCTCGTTTTCCTCCGTTGCCGTCCTTATTCCTCTCCCGCCCCTCCATTCCTCACGTATCTGCGGTAGCAAAGGCGCAACGGTAGCGACAGGCAGGAATGGGTGCGACGGTGGCGAGCAGCGGGGCGACGATAGCTAGATATCGGTGGTCGCATATGAGCAGCGGGGCGACGATAGCGAGCGGTGCGGCGACGATAGCGAGCAGCGGGGCGACGATATGAGCAGCGGGGTGACGATAGCGAGCAGCAGGGCGACGATAGCGAGCACCAGGGCGACGATAGCGAGCACAAGGGCGACGATAGTGAGCATCAAGGCGACGATAGCGACAACCAGGGCGACGATAGCGAGCACCAGGGCGACGATAGCAAGCACCAGGGCGACGATAGCGAGCAGCGGGGCGAAGCATCTGTGCGACGGTGGCGAAGCATCTCGCGTCCCACCATGTCACCTCCCGGAATAATCCAATTTCCCCCTCTCCAATGCCTCCCCCTTTCCGATCCCTTGCCCGGTCCTCAGCATCAACTTCTCTTGGGCAGTGCCCTCCCTGTTTTCCTCTCCCTTTCCCCCTGTCCTCCTCTCCTTCCCCTGTCCTCCTCTCCCTTTCCCCCTGTCCTCCTCTCCCTTTCCCCCTGTCCTCCTCTCCCTTTCCCCCTGTCCTCCTCTCCCTTTCCCCCTGTCCTCCTCTCCATTTCCCCCTGTCCTCCTCTCCATTTCCCCCTGACCTCCTCTCCCTTTCCCCCTGTCCTCCTCTCCCTTTCCCCCAGTCCTCTTCTCCATTTCCCCCTGTCCTTCTCTCCCTTTCCCCCTGTCCTTCCCTCCCACCTTTCCTCCCCCTCTCTCACATCCCTTCCCTTTCCTACTGTCCTCTCCCACCATTCACGCTTCTCTCAGCCATCCCTTTCCCCCCTCCCCTGCCCCTCGCCTTCCCCCACTACCGTCCCTTCCCTTTCCACTACGTTCTCTCGTCCAGCCCAGCCGACAGTACCAGCTTTGCTTGGCCACTGAAGGCTGTCTATCATATCTCAGTTTCCATGCTCTCTTCAATTTCCCTACCTAAAATTCTTCAATAATGCGCAACGTTTCCTTCCCCTTTTCCCCTCCCCCCTCCTCCCTGTAAATGGACAGCTGCACCAATAGTGGATCGTAGTGTAAAAATCGGCTCTCCTTGGATTATGCCATGTTGTTTGCTTGCGATCCTTTGCATGATAAGGATTTCAATATGACATTCCAAGTTTTGCAGGTCTGTACATTTGATGTTCTTTCTCCCCATTATAAATAATACTCTTGCAAATGGATGGATAAATAAACCAAAATAAACCTTGTAAGTGAAATATGTATTCTGCAAAGCTTTTATGAAACATAAGGTTTATCGTTTTGCTATGTGGAGGTGTTATTGGCAGAACAATCAGCGAAAGGGAGTATGGGGGTGTTGATGTGGTCCCATTTCCCGTTTCGTGTGTGTTCCCCCCTTCCCTTCCCCCCACCCCTTCCCCCCCACTTTTCCTTTCGAGGTTCGCGACATTCGCCTTGGATGTTTTCATCGCAACACAACTTACACACTCGCTAGCCAATTGACTACCAGTACGGAACAAGACAAAACCTGGCTTGTCACTGTTCCTAAGATAGTTGCACCGCGGCTTTAACGTGACCCTGAACCCCCTTCCCCCAACCGCCCTCGTTTTCCCCCAACTTGCAATCTTGAAATTGCTGGGGTTGCACGCACCGGATTGGGTTTGTTTTTTCGCTCGAACTCGTCTATCTGTGTACACAAGATGCCCAGCCCCTGCGCGCGAATTTGCCCTGCCACGATGGAAACTCTGCACCCGTGTATTAGGGTGCCAGCCAGTTGCACCCCATTTACAAGCACCTCGAGCAATACGAACCACAAAAACCGAAGTTTGACAGAGACCAACGTCAAACAGTCAACAGAGAGTTACAAAATCTTTTAAAAGCCCTTTTTGCTAAGTGCGAATTGACGAAAACTTAGAGAATTGCAAGAATCACTTAAAGCCGTGGCCCAACGATCAACTTCAACTTCAATGTATTATAGCTTGGAAGAGGTTGACCCAGGCAGTTCAGAGCCGAGAAGTTTGTCCTCTTCTGGTTTTCCAGTTTTTTCGTCCAATAGAATTCAAGTTACTCACATGCCATTTTTGTCCCCCTACTGTTCCTACTGTATGACCTTCTTTGCTGGCCTGAACTCTGTATATATAACAGAATCACGTGCTGTCGAGCAGACGTGGCTGAAAACAACTAAACGACTAGGGCTTCTTCGGACATTTGCGAACATGAGATTTTTCAAACCTCTTGTGCGGCTCGAACATTTTGTTCTTGAAGAACAGTGACATAAAGAAACGTTTCATACGTTTCAATTGATCAGTTGAATTTTTTAACCCCCTTCCCCCAACCGCCCTCGTTTTCCCCCAACTTGCAATCTTGAAATTGCTGGGGTTACACGCACCGGATTGGGTTTGTTTTTTCGCTCGAACTCGTCTATCTGTGTACACAAGATGCCCAGCCCCTGCGCGCGAATTTGCCCTGCCACGATGGAAACTCTGCACCCGTGTATTAGGGTGCCAGCCAGTTGCACCCCATTTACAAGCACCTCGAGCAATACGAACCACAAAAACCGAAGTTTGACAGAGACCAACGTCAAACAGTCAACAGAGAGTTACAAAATCTTTTAAAAGCCCTTTTTGCTAAGTGCGAATTGACGAAAACTTAGAGAATTGCAAGAATCACTTAAAGCCGTGGCCCAACGATCAACTTCAACTTCAATGTATTATAGCTTGGAAGAGGTTGACCCAGGCAGTTCAGAGCCGAGAAGTTTGTCCTCTTCTGGTTTTCCAGTTTTTTCGTCCAATAGAATTCAAGTTACTCACATGCCATTTTTGTCCCCCTACTGTTCCTACTGTATGACCTTCTTTGCTGGCCTGAACTCTGTATATATAACAGAATCACGTGCTGTCGAGCAGACGTGGCTGAAAACAACTAAACGACTAGGGCTTCTTCGGACATTTGCGAACATGAGATTTTTCAAACCTCTTGTGCGGCTCGAACATTTTGTTCTTGAAGAACAGTGACATAAAGAAACGTTTCATACGTTTCAATTGATCAGTTGAATTTTTTAACCCCCTTCCCCCAACCGCCCTCGTTTTCCCCCAACTTGCAATCTTGAAATTGCTGGGGTTACACGCACCGGATTGGGTTTGCTTTTTCGCTCGAACTCGTCTATCTGTGTACACAAGATGCCCAGCCCCTGCGCGCGAATTTGCCCTGCCACGATGGAAACTCTGCACCCGTGTATTAGGGTGCCAGCCAGTTGCACCCCATTTACAAGCACCTCGAGCAATACGAACCACAAAAACCGAAGTTTGACAGAGACCAACGTCAAACAGTCAACAGAGAGTTACAAAATCTTTTAAAAGCCCTTTTTGCTAAGTGCGAATTGACGAAAACTTAGAGAATTGCAAGAATCACTTAAGAGCCCTCTTGGCAAGGCAACCTTGGGCTAGTCAAACGGGCATCTTGTGTATCCACATTCGTATGGCATATGGATAGGGTGTGGTCATTTGCAAAACTGCCACGCTGGACCCGAATATCTGCACTTTTCAGGCTCTTGTGGGAACTTTTACTGTGGGACCTTCCTGTCAAGGCTTAGGTTTGGTTCTGAAAGATGGCATGGCCCTCCTCGACTACACTGAGATCGGTAAATTGCGCCGAGAGTTATCCCCTGTAACGACCCCCGCAACGCTCCCCACCCCATCAACCCAACCGAGGGGGTGACCCCCTCCCCTCCCCTTCCTCCATACGCCTGACCGACCACATCCAGCCAGCTATGCCTGGCACCCTGCTGCCGCTCCACAGCATGTCACTGGACCAAAAGCAAGGCGGCGCCACATTTGTCGATGCAAAAGTTTCCGATGAAGTGCTCCACGTGCTTACTAAGCACTCATTTCGACTCTAACATCAGTCATTTTCGTAGCAGTAGTCTCAGCCGCAACGCTTTCATCATCTCCAGTTCTAATAGAAACTTGCTCAGCAGTGGCGTTCAACACACAGTCTGGATCTGGCAGGCCTAGGCCGTCGAATGGAGTCTATTTCAGCCAGGCTCAACACGACTCTTGTTTTAGAATCCTCTGCAGAGAAAACGGATCAGAGCATGAGTTCGACGGATCAGCGAGCCCCAAGCATTGACAGCGTGGAGCAGGATCATCCGCCGGAAACTGTCCGTGCAAGCGGCCAACAAGAGATGCAAGAGCAACAGCAGCAGCACCAGCAGCATCAGCCGCAGCACCAGCACCATCAGCAGCAGCAACAACAACATCAGCACGGCAATTTGATATGTCCGATGCCGCGGTGGCCCCAGCCTGCTACCTTCAGAGTTTCAGCTTCAGGATCAAGTTCAGAGACACATCATATTCAGAATCAGCATGATGCTAATGCTGAGTTACCATCAGCAACGATGGGCTTGACTCAAATGGCACAATACACGCCGAATGCGCCACAGACGCAGTTCCACACGCATCGCGCAACTGCGAATCAGGTGCAACCACCTGAAGAGTACAAATGGAAAAAGACATCACACAAGCGCATTGTGGGCCTACAGATGAAAAGGTGAGGCAATCTTCTTGCCACCCTTTCCGAACAAAGTTGAAGTCTCATGCAACACCCTGATGTTGCTGTTGTTAAAAAGGCGACTCGCCTATTGTCCACCATGATATTTCTTGCATACTCACTGGGTATGAAAAGAAAAGCTGCTTCAGAATAGAGATAGTCAGCGTGATTGTGTCAGATCTACCCTGTGGAACAATTTGTGGGCCTGTGACATTTTGTTCCAAAACCCTCCTTTTAGAGGTTTGCAAGTCAATCTAGACTTGGCGCTTGTGCTTAACAAGCTGCTGCTGTTATTTCTCACTGAGTCTTGCAGGTTGTACTTCGTGTGCGCATCCAAGGAAACAACAGGCTGCACCGCAAAGAAGATAGAAGACCGCGTGGCTGGAGCGGCGAGGCATCGCCGCTCAAACACCATCCCCCGGCCAAGGCATCAGGGCGGTGCAGCCAGCTCGAAAGCTACATTCAGAGACGGTGCTGCTGTTTCAAGAGGGTGCAGCCCCACTGCGGATGCTGCAGCGGCTACTGTGGAGAGTAGCCTAGAAGACAACGAGGTGACAGACAATGTGGAGATGCCAAGGACTGAGATGCGTGTGGTGGTGAGGACAGTATACCACGGCTCACATAACCACCCGCCACCAATTCCCGACGTTTCTCGAACGAGCTTGGTTGGTGTATCTTCCTCCGGCCCTGCTGCTGTAGCAACCTGGTACCCTGAAACATCCCTCGCTCCAGCCACACAGGGTCCTCCTGCTGCATTACCCACCCCTCATTCAGCATGGCCTGCTCTGGAATCCTTTACTCCCACTTCTGCCTCTGCCTCTGCATCCATTTCTCCCACCACATCAGCTCCTGCATCCATTTCTCCCACTTTATCATCAGCTCCTGCATCCTTCACTCCTGCCTCTGCCAATGCATCCATTTCTCCCACTACATCATCTGTTCCTTCACCCTTTTCTGCCACTACAGACTGTGCTCTTGCATCCCTTTCTCCCACTACAACCTGCGCTCCTCCTACATTTTCCGCTCGCACTACAACCTGCACTCCTGCTACTATTGCGGATACAACCTGCGCTCCTCCTACATTTTCCGCTCGCACTACACCCTGCACTCGCACTCCCAATACAATCTCCCTTCCTGCTACGACCTTCACTCCAGCTATGAGCCAACTTCCTGCTACAGTCTGCGTGTCGCCTGTAGCCAGGTATCCACCCTCAGTTCCCAGCAATTTAGCTTCCCCTTCATCAGATTTTAATAGTCAATCATTCAGCGCTCTGAATCTGCCCTTTAATCAGGGTCCATTCTCCTGCCCCCCTTCTCGGTCCACCACACCTCCTCCTCCATCCCCATTTCCTCCGTTGCTCGATCCTGCACACTTGCCCCGCTTAGCTTCTGAAGCGCCGAACGCTCCCCAGCCTTCATTAGTTCCAGCGGGCAACATAACGTACACTCAAACAGAGCAAGCACGTCCCATGCTTTTTGATGCCTCAGCAATCACAGGCGGTGACGGGCAAACTCGGATAAATAGGTGCATCTGCTTGCAAAAGCACGGGCATCACCGGGTGGATGGACAGCAGCCGCCGCCGCCGCCGCAGCAGCAGCAGCAGCAGCCGCCGCAGCAGCAGCAGCAGCAGCAGCAGCAGCAGCAGCCGCCGCCGCCGCAGCAGCAGCAGCAGCAGCAGCAGCAGCAGCCGCCGCCGCCGCCGCAGCAGCAGCAGCAGCAGCAGCCGCCGCAGCAGCAGCAGCAGCAGCAGCAGCAGCAGCAGCAGCAGCAGCAGCAGCAGCAGCAGCAGCAGCAGCAGCAGCAGCAGCAGCAGCAGCAGCAGCAGCAGCAGCAGCAGCAGCAGAGGCAGGCGCAGCAGCAACAACCGCAGCATGAGCAGAGGCAGATGCAGCAGCAGACACAGGCACAGCAGCAGCAGCAGCAGCAGCAGCAGCATATGCATCAAGCGCCCCCATTTCTGTTCTGCGCTGAGCACCTTCTTTTCCAAGAGGCTGCTCCCACCCTTGGCGTTACCAACACTGGTATAACCACCACTGGTGTAACCACCACTAGCATGACCACCCCTGGCATAACCACCCTTGGCATAACCACTGGCATAACCACCCCTGGCATAACCACTAGCATAACCACCCCTGGCACAAGCACTAGCATAACCACCCCTGGCATAACCACTAGCATAACCACCCCTGGCATAACCACCACTGGCATAACCACCCCTGGCATAACCACCACTGGTGTAACCACCACTGGTGTAACTATCCCACTTATAGATACGTGTGTCCCTGGTGCTGAGGAGTTCAGCCCCTTAGTGGATCCAGCTGATGCCCTTGCCATGGCTGCATGCGGTATAGTTCCCTGGGAGCCATGTGATGCCTGGACTGTCCAGCCAATCACTGATTGTGCTACACCGGATGCAGCCCTTTTGTTGAAATACTCGCACCTGCTTCCATCCCAGCAGCAATCTATTCAGTCTGAGCCACAGCAGCAGCAGCAGCAGCAGCAGCCAATGCAGAATCAACATCTTTCTCTGGAGCTGCAACAGAAACTTATGATGGACCAGCAGCAGCAGCCACAGCAGCCGCAGCAGCAGCAGCAGCAACAGCAACAGCCAGTGTGGAATCAAAATATTTCTCTGGAGCAGCTACAGCATCTCATGCTGGACCATCAGCACCAGCAGCAGCCACAGCAGCAGCCGCAGCAGCAGCCGCAGCAGCAGCCGCAGCAGCAGCCGCAGCAGCAGCCGCAGCAGCAGATACAGCAACAGCAGCAGCAGCTACAGCCGGAGCAGCTACTGCAGCAGGTTCAGCAGCAGCTGGAGCAGCCACTTCAGCAGGTTCAGCAACAGTTGGAGCAGCAGCAGCAGCAGCAGCAGCAGCAGCAGCAGCAGCAGCAGCAGCCAGAGCAGCATCAACAACTTCAGCCTCAGAAGCAACAGAAGCAGCAGCCGGATCAGCTAATGCAGCGAGCTGTTTATATGGCTGATTCGGGGGGCAGCAGTAGTGGCTACACTGGCAGCCGCACTCACGTTCCTGGGCTTCCCACAGGCCACACAACTCTGCATGGCTTGGGTGCAGCTGCAGGGCCCACGAGAACAGATCCTGAGGGTAGAGGGTTTAGGAGCGCAGATGCACACACCAGTCCAAGCACGAGCGTACAGCCTAGTACCGTCCAGGATGGGGGTAGCCACACTGACATGCTTCAACTGAGTAGGGTTGACAGCCTGGGCATACCTGTTGGGAGCATGAGCTGCCAACTGTATAGGGCTGACAGCATGGGTATGACCATGGGGAGCATGAGCTACAGCTCCATGGACTCCTGCATGCATGGGACCGTTCCAGATGCATGCCTGGATGACCTTTTCCTGATGGCAGACGAGATTGCCAAGTCTGGAGTGCTGATTCAAAGGAATGATGACTCGGAGATGGTCCCCATGCCAGCTGCACACAAAGCTAGTGACACTGATCTTGTCGTGTTTGACTGTACTGAGGACGTGGTGTATAGGGAGCAGAGGACTTCCCAGTGACAGTGCTGCCATGCTGGGAGGAGGTGGTGCCCGTGCCAGCTGTTCACAAAGTGAGCGTCACTAATCTAGTTGTGCTTGACTGCTTGCTTCCCAGCTTCACTCTTTTCAGTCTGAGCTGCAGCAGCAGCAGCAGCAGCAGCAACAGCCAATGAAAAATCACCCTCTTCAGCAGAGCAGCAGCAAAATCTTATGTTTGATCAGCAGGAGCAGCAGGGACAGCCGCAGGGGCGGCAGCAGCAGAAGCAGGAGCAGCAGCAGCAGCAGCAGCAGCAGCAACAGCCAATGAAAAATCACCCTCTTCAGCAGAGCAGCAGCAAAATCTTATGTTTGATCAGCAGGAGCAGCAGGGACAGCCGCAGGGGCGGCAGCAGCAGAAGCAGGAGCAGCAGCAGCAGCAGCAGCAGCAGCAGCAGCAACAGCCAATGAAAAATCACCCTCTTCAGCAGAGCAGCAGCAAAATCTTATGTTTGATCAGCAGGAGCAGCAGGGACAGCCACAGGGGCCGCAGCAGCAGTAGCAGCAGCAGCAGCAGCAGCAGCAGCAGCAGCAGCAGCAGCAGCAGCAGCAGCAGCAGCAGCAGCAGCAGCAGCAGCAGCAGCAGCAGCAGCAGCAGCAGCAGCAGCAGCAGCAGCAGCCAGGGCAGCAGCTGGAGCAGCAGCAGAAGCCGGATCACCAAACGCAGCGAGCTGTTTATATGCATTTGTGGGGCAGTGTGGCTAGGTATAGTGGCAGCCGTGCTCACCTCACTCCTGGGTTTCCCACAGGCCACACAACGCTGCATGGCTTGGGTGCAAGTGCATGGCCCTCGGGAATAGATGCTGGGGGTAATAGATAGGGTTTAGGAGCTCATGTGCAGGCGCGAGCGGCCAGCCTAGTTTTCAGGAGGGGGACACGAGTGCAAGCACGAGCATTGACACATGCGAACTGAATAGGGTTGACAACACACATGGGCATGACCATGGGGAGCATGAGCTACAGTTCCATGAACTCATGCATGCATGCATGCTTCACCATGCATGCTTCACCATGCATGCTTCACCATGCATGCATGGGTCAGTCCAGAGGCATGCTTGGATGACCTTTCCTGATGGCAGGCGACATTGCCAAGTCGGGGGTGCTGATTCAAGGGAGTGTTAATCTAGAAAAGCTGCCTGTACAGTTGGACGATGCCCGGAGCAGGTCTGGGTCTCTCATTCAAGGGAGTGCTGATTAAGAAGTGGTGTCCGTGCCAGCTGCACACACGTCCGGCGATGCGGATCTACTCATGTTTGACTGCACAGAGGCCGTGCTGTATAGGGAGCAGAGGACTTCCCAGTGATGTAGCATTTGAGGCGCCCCAGTAGTCGTTCTGGGGCCCCTCAAAGGACTGCCCTGTAGGCGTAGGAGCTGTATAGGGCGAGGAGGTCTTCCCAGTAACGTAGCTCCCATGCTCGCTCATGCTTACGTCTTCCTTTTCGTCTATGCTTTGTATATGTATAAGTTAAATCCACATTTTTTTTCTTAAGGGCTTGGGAGATCCCCTTCCAGCAGGTCAGGCCCGGGCTTCATAAGCGAAGTCTCTAGAACACAGCTGATGCGGTGAGAAGACATACATGGATGTGTGTCATGCATTTGGTGTGAAGGTATGCATTTGGTGTGAAGGTATGCACTTGGTGTGAAGGTATGCATTTGGTGTGAAGGTATGCATTTGGTGTGAAGGTATGCATTCAATGTGAAGGTATGCATTCAATGTGAAGGTATGCATTCAATGTGAAGGTATGCATTCAATGTGAAGGTATGCATTCAATGTGAAGGTATGCATTCAATGTGAAGGTATGCATTCAATGTGAAGGTATGCATGAATTTGGTGTGAAAGAGTGCATGCGTGCAGTATGAAGGTGTGCATGCATGCGGTGTGACGGCATGCATATAAGGTAATCATGCATTTGGGTTGAAAGCATTCATATCATGTACTCGTGGCATCGTGTAAAGGCATGCCTATCATGTAATCACGCCTTTGGTGGGTATGCAATGAAATGATAATCGAATATGTAGTTATGCATTTTGTGTGAAGGCACTTCTTATGTAGTCACGCTTTTGGTGTGAAAGCGTGTCAACATGCATAAGGTGTGAAGGCATGCACGTCATGCAGTCATGCGTTTGGTGTGGCGACATGAATGAATGTTATGTAGTCATGCATTTGGTGTGAAGGCATGCATATCATGCACTCATGCATTTGGTGTAAAGGCATGTCTATCATGTAGTTATGCATTCGGTATGAAGGCATGTATGGATGCATTTGGTGTGATGGCATGCATATCATGCGGTCGACCATTTGGTGAGAACACAAGCATATCATGCAGACAAGCGTTTGGTGTGACAGGATGCATGTCGTTTAGTCATGCATTTGGTGTGACTGCATGCATATCACATAGTCATGCATTTAATGTGAGGGCATGTAAAGAATCTAGCCATGCATTTTCTGTGAAGTCATGCGTTTGGTGTGAAGGCATGCCTATCATTTCATGCATTTCATGTGAAGGCATGTACACCATGTACTCATGCATTTGGTATGGACTCTACAAATCGAAGGAAAGCAAAACACACGTGTCTGTCTACCATCCTACGCTCGTGACTGGAACACCCATCTCTATCTACCATCCTACGCTCATGACTGAAACACCCATCTCTATCTACCATCCTACGCTCGTGACTGAAACACCCATCTCTATCTACCATCCTACGCTCATGACTGAAACGCCCATCTCTATCTACCATCCTACGCTCGTGACTGAAACTCCCATCTCTATCTACCGTACCATCCTACACGCATGACTGAAACGGCCAATCACTAATGATACCAATCACTGATGCTTCAGGAGGAGCTGTGAACAAAAATATGAGCACCTGTGTTGACATGAATGCTTTGTTGGTTACAGCCAAGGCTTGTAAACATAATGCACACGCAATATTGGGTTTATGCATTTGCGATAACTGGGCTGGTGTGTTCCTTTCGCACAGCTAGATAATGACACAACTCAGTTCAATAAAATCACAAAACAAATTGCACATAACCTAATTACCAGCGGCACAAGAAGGGCATCCTAGCAGGGGTCATAAAGGAACCAAAGTTCCTAGGGTGGACTCTGAAGGCGCCAAGCAGAGCGACGTGTTCACATGTCAAAACAAATATTTGAATGGAAAGTTCACACCTGCTTGGGTCATCTAGGTGCTGTCTAGCATAATATTTATTTTACCCTTTGGATCCACTCCATTGAAAGATGGACCGGCAACGACAACTCGTCCGCTGTCCGGCCCTACATCTCAGCCTACTCCAAACCCCCAGCGCTCGGCTCGTAGAGCACCACATAAATCCATGCATTGCCATTACCATTATCTTGGTACATGATCTTCGCTCTGTCCTCCATTCTTACCTCGATAGTGCAATCCTCTTTCGCTTAATTGCACCAGTAACACCCATGCATAAATACTTTATATCATTGTAGTCAAGAGAAATCCCAACACTGCATTATTGTGGTAACCATGTTTGAGATCACCACAAGACCTGTTTTGTACTCCCCAGAACACCAAGACGTTCCGCTTTCCTGGGCTGCCGCGAGCCGCGTCCCGTATTTGCCTCGGAATATCTATCCTTTTTTGTTCAATTTACCTTTCAATAATCTCCGCCATGGATCGGTCGAAGCCCGTGAAGTACGGCCTCGAGATTCGCCGCAAGCCGCAAAGCCATCGCCCTGCGACGGCGGCGAAGCCGTTACCACCCGTGCGAGATGCGAAGCTGCAAACGCTTTTCGGCAATGATGACGACGACGATGTGGAGGCCGATATCGCGAGGCAGAACCTCAAGAAGCGAAGCCAGCGTGAGGTGCGGCGTGATCTGCGGGCGGGTTGTGGACATGTCAAAATCGTGGTGGTGATGGCGGAATTTAGCTGATGACGGGTGACGACACGGCGATTACGCGTAGACGACGGCGAGTAGGCTCGACGCGGCGAGTAGGCGGCCACGTCAAGGCAGAGTTTCAAGAAGGGCCGACACAGCAGCTACTAGGCTACCCGCATATTTTCCAACTTGTGGACGGCCCCTTATTGCGATCAAGCGGCAGCACTAGCGCCCGTCTTATACCTTGTTTCGAAATCATTTTGTCCCTTGTCCTCTTCTGTTTACCGCATCATGTGGTGGTGGGTGCAGACGGAGCAGCAGCACGAGGCAGCTTCCAAGGCGCCTTACAACTCGTCTCATTTTATCCCGTGCGCTCTCCTACCGCCGCCCTTGTTGTGTGTGCAGACGGAGCAGCAGCACGAGGCAGCGATGGCGGAGGACCCGTCAGTGTTTGACTACGACGGGGTGTACGACACCATCCACGCCGCCAGGACCTCGCGAGCCAAAGAGGCCGTGCAGAGACAGGTGGGTGCAGTGCAGTGTAGTGCGGTGCAGTGCAGTGTAATGTGGTGCAGTGCGGTTCTGCACGGTTTTATTTTTATGTAAGGCACCTCAAGCAGCAGGCCATGGCGGAGGATCCATCAGTGTTTGACTACGACGGGGTGTTCGACCACATTCGCGCCGCCAAGGATTCCGTGCAAAGACAGGTGCGTGCAGTGCGGTCCTGTGCGGTGCTGCGCGTTTTGTTTCTAAGGCGACTCGAAGGACCCATCTATGATTGGGTGTTCGAGAAGGAGGTTGTGTGTGAGTGGCTCTTGTTGCCAAATGAGAGGAATCTGAAACCACAGGCCCTTGTCCCTTGCTTTTGCCTTGCTCCTTCCATTTTGCCTTCGATTCACGCCTACTGCAGGCATGGTACATTCCGAACCTGCTGAAACCACTAAGGAGAGGGAGAAGGAGAAGGCATTGGTGCAGGAGCGGCTGCTGGCGAAGGAGAGGGCGAAGGAAGGGGAAGAGAACACAAGAAAACCTTGTCCTGTCTCTTGTATCGGTCGTGTCCTTTCCCTTGCATTCGCCTCTCATTCGCCCGGACTGCAGGCGCGGTACATTCCAAACCTGTTAAAGACGACCAAGGAGAGGGAGAAGGAGAAGGAGCTGGTGCAGGAGCGGCTGCTGGCGAAGGAGAGGGAAGCAAACACAGTTGGGCCTCGTGCCGTCCCTTTCTGTTGGTCTGGTCTGGACCCTATGTGCCTGTTTCTCCCTGACGGCAGGCCCGCTACATTCCAAACCTGTTAAAGACGACCAAGGAGAGGGAGAAGGAGAAGGAGCTGGTGCAGGAGCGGCTGCTGGCGAAGGAGAGGGCGAAGGAGGAGGAGGAGTTCGCGGGCAAGGAGCGGTTTGTCACGCGCGCTTACCGCGAGAAGCTGGTGGAGCGGCAGCGATGGCTGGCGGAGGAGAAGAGGAAGGAGGCTGAGGAGGCGGCTAACGATGTGAGGAGGGACGGCTGCTGGGTGCTTGTGGAATGGGGTGTTGCGATGGGGATTGGGGATGGGCATGGGCATGGGCATGGGCATGGGCATGGGCATGGGCATGGGCATGGGCACTGGCATGAGCGTTTTTCCCGCCCCCTCCCTTGCCCTTCTCCCCTCCCCCTCCCTTGCCTTTCTCCTCTTCTCCCCCGTGCCCATGTCCCCGCCCCCTCCCTTGCCCTTTTCCCCTCCCTTTTTCTTTCCATTTTACTCTGTACAGTCAAGTAATGATGATTGAACCTCTCTTTCCCCTGCTTTTGAAGAGCATAATTTTGATTTCTGCTTCAACCCCTCTTCCCGCCCTGCTGCCCCTTTCCTCACTTCCCCTCCTCCTCCCCCGCCCCTTTCCCTTCCGCCCCAACCTCCCTTTTTGCAACGTCTACTCTTCATCTCTGCTTTGCCCCCCTTTCCACCCTGCCATTCCCCCCTTCCCCCCTTGTTCCCCATTACCCCATTTCCCCCATTCCTTTCTTCCCCTTCCCCGCTTTTTCCCCTTTCCCCCTCTTCCCCCCTTCCTCGTCCTTCCGTTCCTTCCCCCTCCTGCCCCCACGTCTCCTCCAGGTGACCAAGCGGTCTGACCTGACAGATCTGTACCGCAACCTGTACCGGGCACAGGATGCTCAAGCAAAGTCCCCAGGCGTGCGGGATGCTCAAGCAGACACAGGGGTGAAGCCCAGTGGGAGGTTGGGGAAAGAGGAGGGGAGGGCAGGAGTGGAGGAGGGCAGGGAGAAGCAGAGAGCAGGGAGCAAGGAGCGTGAGCTGCCAGTGGGAGAGCCGATGGGGCGGGGCAAGCAGGGGGCGGCAGCTGCTGTGTTGTCAGACGGACGGCAGAGGATGCTAAGGGGAGATTTGCCAGCGGTGGATGGGGATGGGGAACAGGAAGGTGCTGTGAGTGCGGGGAGGGATCGGGAGGAGAGTGGTGGAGAGGAAGGAAGTGGGGGTGTGGGAAGGGGTGATGTTGCTGTGCGTGCTGCTGCTGGTCCCAGTGCGAGCAGGGGGGATGGCTTGCCTCTGAGAAGCAGCCAGGAAGGTGCGGGCGAGGATGAGACGAGACAGGCTGGTGGAGTAGGGCGTGAGGGGGGTTCTGCTGGTGGGGGGAATGGTGGTGCTGGGGTTTCTGGTGAACATTCTTTGCCAGGTGTCAGAAAGCCATTGGAGGGTGGTGATAGTAAGAGTGTGAAGGTATCAGCAGAAGACAAGGTGAGTGATGCTCGTGCCCGGTTTCTCGCGAGGAAGAAGCAGAAAAGCGTTCCATGATGCAGAAATATCTAAAATGAGGATATGCTAATGTACGGTAATGAGTTGTTCACAAGTGTTAGTGTTTGACACTAGTGCTATAGAGCCTCATATGATTTGATGTGTAAGCCGGAAGTTTGCCTTGTATACAAAGATTTTGCATGTTTCCCAAACTATGAAACCTCCTTCTATCGATTAGCGAAGCGCCTTCTTCGAACAGGCGGTTCGTCAGGTGTCAGATCGATGCCACATCTGTCTGTCGGTCGGTTCGGTGCATTCGCCTCGATCAGCAGCCGTCACGTCAGGTCGGCTCAGCTGCACCCCTGCTGTAGGGCCAACTTTCATTTCTTGGAAATTCCTCCCTCCCGTTGGCCCGAGGAGTCAGCTGGTCGCAGCGCGTGCTGGTCAAAATTGCGCAGCGAAATTTATATCCCTCGCGCGGCTCCACGAGGAGGCACAAGCAAAATAGGCAACCCTTTCCCACCGATCCGTAACCACGTTCACCTTCTGAGTTTCCTTTCAGAAAGCGTATGGAAGTTGTCGGGTTGATGCTAGTAAACTCTCCGCTAATTCGCACCATGTCCTGTTCTTCCAAAGCTGGATATTAGCGGCTTGGCGTGGCACCGTGGAAGTCCGGAATGCACTAGACTATATCTGCTGCTTTTGAGGCGCCTCATAAGTAGTCAACGGTTGAGCACCCAGGCTAATGATGGTATATATTCGACGTTTGCAATTGTATGTGAATTGATCGTATTGCGCCGGCGCCGGGCGACCACGACACGATGGCGTCGCAAGCTGCGTTGCGTTCCGTTTCGCACGATTCTGCATGGAATTTTGCTGAACCACACGGGACGACGAAGGTGCATGTCACACCGCGTCGTGGCGACAACTTGGAAGTTTGCGAACTCGTAATCGCTCCAAATTCAGAATGTAGCGACAGTTTGTGCAATTCTGATGAGGGCTGCGAATCGCCTGATACCCTCTCGCCTGCGCTCACCCCATCACCCCAAGTCAGCCCCTCCTCCTCTTCATCCTCCTCTCCCTCCCGCTCTCACCTCTCCCCGCTAGTTGCGACCTCGAAGGATTCAATACAGCAGCTACGAAAGCTCCTCGCTTCAGCAGCCGTGCAGAACCAAAAGGATGGGCACTGGTGTTACAGTAACAAACGGGGTGATACACGTGGCACACGGGGCGATACACGTGGCAGGCGTAGCGACACACGTGGCAAACTGAGCGACGGAGTCGCGGGTTCAGGAAGATTAGTAGGATCGCAGCCGGCTCGCACTCGCGCTCCAGAGTCCGACCGGACCCGCTGTGACGGCAGCGACGAAACGCAGCGCGGCTGCATTTGCAGGGAGGTACAAATGCTTATTTGCGGTTGTATGGAAGAGACCCACATTGGTGCCGCGGAGCCCTATAAGGGGTACATCGGCGCCAGCGAGAACGGCGAGGGCAACGATTGTCGCATGACTGCGACCAATCAGCGACGCCGCTCGGAGATCACCGGACCGCTTGTCCCACATGAGGGGTCGAGGCAGGAAGAGGAAGCTTCGCGGAAGGAGTGGGTAGAGCGCTACCTAAGCGACTGTCTTCACACGTGCGCCGAGAGTAGCAGTAGTTGGTGCTGGGGCGGCGGAACCAGTAGTAATCGCGAAAGCGGAGGTGATAATTGCGGAGGCGGAAGTGATGCCCGCGAAAGCGGAATCGGTACCGGAGCTGGCGCAAGTGGGCGCGTACCGCCCCCTCTGTCCTACTACGCGCTTTCGGCCAAACGCGCGCGCTTTCCCTGCCATCCCTCCCCTCTCCCGCTCCCTCCCTCTCTTTCGCGCCCGCGGCAAACCTTCCGCCAACCTAACGCCCGCGGAAGTGAAAAGCCCCATGGCGGGGATGAAGCCCCCCCGCGGAAACAGTTCGCCCAGAGGAGTTCCCCCCGCGGGGACCAGAATGTCCCTCACAGCGACGGTATGCGCAAATCTGGCGCAAGACGCCCCTCCCCCCGCGGCGGGGGGAGCATCCGCGGAACGACGAGCGCGGTTACCGGAAGGCAAACGGGGGAGAGCGGAAGCTCCCCGCGAGAGGGGCCTTCGGAAGGGATTGTACGCGCGGACGGAGCGGGAGAAGCGGATGGAACGACGAAATTAAATCTTGATCGTCCATCTGTGGGAGCAGCTGAGACACACGACCTTCCGCACGACTCCCAGGCTGTGGGCCGTAGCAAGGGCGGTGGCGCGGGAAAAGAGAGTGCGAGAGGTGCATTTTCGAACGTGATGCGTAACCGATGCGCCTTAAAACGGGTGGACGGCAACGCGCCGTCTCAGAGAGCGGCAGGCGAACGACACGTGGCAGCATGGAATTCGTCGGGGCTGGCAGCAGCTGGAATCGAGCAGCACGAGAAGAAATTGCAACAGGTACTGGAAAATGCGGTGGAAAGAGATGTGACTGGACGAGATGCGGTACAAGGGGGTGAGAACCGCGTCCCTGTCAGCTACGACGAACAGGTGAAGGTGCCAGTATCGAGGACGAAAGAGGGCTGCAGGGGAGACGAGTCAGGGAGGGGAAGGAGCGATAGGTGGCAGCAGGAGCGGAAGATGAGCAACTTGCTCGGAAGTACAGACGGTGCTGCTGGTGCTGCTGCTGCTGTTGCTTCTGGTGGTGGTGATGGCGATGGTGATGGGAACGATGGGCCTGCTGCGGACGGAGATGCGAGTGCCTGTGCTGCTTCTGCTGATGATGCTGCTGCTACTGTTACTACTGGTTCTGCTGCTGCTGTTATTGCTGGTGGTGCTGCTGCTGCTGTTGGTTCCGCTGGTTCTGGTGCTTTTGATGATGGTGCTGATCTTGCTCCTGATGGTGGCTGTGCTGCTGCTCCTACTGCTGCTGCTGGTAATGCTTCTGTTTCTGCTTCTGCTGCTGTTGCAGTTGCTGCGATCGAATTAGTTGAAACAGAGGGAAGAGTAGCAGCAGCGGCAGTGCAGGGCGCAAGGGGGAGCGAACAAGGGGTGGCGGAGGGGGAAGGTGCAGGGGAGAAGTCTGTAGAAGAGGAGGGGTTGGCTGAGGGAGCAGAGGGGGACGAATCAGGGAAGGAGAGAGTGCGGGGCGACGAGGGTGTGCTTGTCGTGGTTGGGTGTGATGCGCCCGCCATTGACTTACAGGAGGAGCAGCAGGCGGAGCAGCAGGAGGAGCAGCAGGAGGAGCAGCAGGAGGAGGAAAAGCAGCAGGAGGAGCAGCAGGAGGAGGAAAAGCAGCAGGAGGAGAAGCAGCAGGAGGGGGAGCAGCCGCAGGAGCAGCAGGCGGGGCGCATGAGAGAGGACGGAGGAGGCGTGGAGGATAACAAACAGAACGGGGCCGAGGCAGTGGAAGAGGCGACCAAGGAGGAGGAGGTGGTGATGGCGAGGGAGGAGGGAGGGAAGGGAGGGGAGAGGGGGGAGGTGGGGGATTGGAAGCTTCGAGGAGGTGTGGAGGATGAACAGAACGGAGGCCACGCCGGGGAGGAGGTGAACAAGGAGGAGGAGGAGGTGGCGACAGAGAGCGAGGAGGGAGAGGAGGAGAGGGAGGTGGGAGAAGAGGAGAGGGAGGTGGGAGAGGAGGAGAGGGGGGTGGGAGAGGAGGAGAGGGGGGTGGGAGAGGAGGAGAGGGAGGTGGGAGAGGAGGAGAGGGAGGTGGAGGAGTGGGAGCGGGGAGGAGGAGGGGTGATCTTGGGAGTGGTGAGGCAGAGCTCCTTTGATCCAGCCAGGAGGGTCTGCAGGCTCATTGCCCGGGCGCGATCACTGAGTGAGTCACCCCTCTAACTCTATGCATGGGAGGTCGAGGTAGCTGGAGTGTGGCTGTGTTACATGTGTTTTGCTACTTGATTCGCGTCGCTTCGCCTGCCCCTCACTAGCCCCTCCTCTCCTGTTGTCCGTCCCTATGCTCTCCTTGCTTCTCACTCTCTTTTCCTCACCTCTCTCCTCGTTACTCTTCCCTTACCTCCTCTCCCCTTCACCTGTCCCTCACCACCACGCATCTCATCAGGTCCGGGCCCAGTCTTGCGGTCGATGATCCAACGGTCCAGATGCTCTGATGGCACTCCAACTAGGGGCATTGCAACAAGCAGCATCAGCAGCAGAAGCACCAGCGGAAGGAGTGGTGAAGGGGAGCAAAATACTGAAGGCAACAGGAATAATCCCGAAAGAAGCAGTGAAGGGGGCGGCAACAGGGGCGTGGGGAACAATGGAGCGGCAAGTACTAATGAGTTGAAGTTGCAAGGTGCCAGGGATGGCCGAGGGGTGAGCAGAGCAGGCAAAATCAGGGCTCTGTTGCGACGGCACGTTGCCAAGGAGAATGAACGTGCTGGGAACGGGACAGTAGCAGCAACGGGGGAAGCAGCTGCAGAAGAGGAGGCAGCAGCAGCAGCAGCAGCGAAAGGGGGGCCAGACCTGGCATGTGTGGAGAAGAGGGTCTTTCAGGGAGAAGCAACAGCGGCGCTTCCAGCGGGACGGACAGGGAGGTCGTGTAAGGTGGCCCCTCAGCAGCAGAGAGAGCAGAGCGAGGGGATGGAGGCACAGGAGGGAGGGAGACCACAAGAGGGAGGGAGCGCAGAAGAGGGGGAGAGGGTAGAGGGTGAAGGGAGGAGAGCAGAGGGTGTGGTGCAGGGGGAGGGTGAGAGGCAGAAGCGCAAACACCTGCCACAATTCCGCCCTGAGACACCACAGAAGCCAAGTAGTACCATTGTGTGTCAGCAGCGCAAGCAGAAACACCTACCGTCACCCCAGCTGCTTGCTAGTTGCGCTACAGAGCAAGGTAACACCCGACAGCAGGCAGTAGGTAAAGCAGCAGAGGAAACCGCGGGGGAAGCAAAAGAGAAGGCAGCAGGGGCAGAGAAAGCAGAAGGGAAGGCAGCACGGGAGGTTGAGTCTTGGAGCAGTGATTTGCGTCCCCGAGGCTCTGCCACCGGTGTGCTACAAGAGTTGCTCTTCCGACCCAGGCGGAGGAGGGAGGGCTTGCTGTTTTCGACCCAACCTAAACAATAGGTTCATGAGAAATGTTTTTTTCTTAGGATTAGTGTGTAAGCTTTCTCGCCATGAGTGGAGTAGAGGAAAGAGTGTAACCAGTGGTTCCCTGCATGTGTATTGCTGTGCATGTGTGCCACACCCTTTCGGTCACACCCAAGTATTGCAGGGGCAAGTATGGCATCATTTCATAAGCGTACAAAAAATATACAGCAGAAAATTCATAGAAACATGCAAGCCACAATGTGTGGCATGAAGTGTACTTGTTACAGCTCCTGTCCATTGTTGCTGAGCCGATCAGAGGCGCAGCAGATTGCCATACCATAGAGGAACAAAAGGGTGGGAAGCCTCAGGGCAGATCCAGCAGAGGAGGCATCGTCGGCAGAAACACGGGCCTGTATGTCACTGCCAGCCTCCATTACAGCATGTAACAGGACGCAGAGACGCAGCATGGGCTCCGAAAGCTCCACAACAGAAGCAGCGGCGGCAGCAGCAGCAGCAGCAGCAGCAGCAGCAGCAGCAGCAACACAGCCCTGACATGATGAAATACAACCCTACTGCTCAGAGCAACGCGCAGGATGCAGACCCAAAGCAGATCAACGTAGAGGAAGACGAGCATGGGTTCCAGTAGCCCCACGGCCGCCACGGCCGCGCACAGCCCCAGATACGCCTCCACACCTCTGTGCAGTGCCCGCTCGCTGGCCCCTACAGCATGCGCAGGATGCAGAGGCGCAGCAAATCAACATAGAGGAAGACGAGGGTGGGCTCCAGCAGCCCCACGTCCGCCAGGGCCGCGCACAGCCCCAGATACGCCTCCACTCCCGCATCCCCCCTCTGTAATCGCCGCAACACTATAGCGAGTTGCTGTGCGTTGGGCTGCATGCCCCTCCGCACCATCTGCAGTACATGGGTGGGGGAAGGGGGAAGGGAGAGGGGGATTCAGTTGGGTGGGGAAGAGCGCACACCGACTTCAGTACACCAGCTATGCATACATGCTCGCTCCTCACCAGCCTCACAGCAGATGCAGCCACATCCACATGCTTGGCCTTGAAAGCACTCGCCACCACAAGAACACACACACACCCACAAGCATGCTCACCCACAAGCACACACACCCACAAGCACACACACCCACAAGCACACACACCCACAAGCACACACACCCACAAGCACACACACCCACAAGCACACACACCCACAAGCACACACACCCACAAGCACACACACCCACAAGCACACACACCCACAAGCACACACACCCACAAGCACACACACCCACAAGCACACACACCCACAAGCATGCTCACCTCCACCGCACCTGCACACTCAAACCTCTCTCCTCACCTCCCGCACGGCATAAGCAGCCACGACCACGTGTCCACCTTTGAGCGCACCCCCCCACACCATGAGCGCATATGCCCACTCGTCCAGAAGACGCCATGAGCGCATACCGACTCACTAGACCAGCTACACACACTCTCTCTCTCTCTTCTTACCCCCCTCACGAGTCACGGCGAATGCAGCCACGTCCACGTGCCCGCCCTTGAGTGCTCCCTTCCCCCCCACCACAGACAGACCCAGTACACCAGCTACGCACACACGCACTCCCCTTTCATCCTCACCTCCCTCACAGCGAATGCAGCCACGTCTACATGCCCGCCTTTGAGTGCTCCCCCCACCATGAGTGCATACGCCCACTCGTCCAGGGGACTCCCCAGTGCCTCCAGCCGCTGTATGAAACTGTGGGGGGAAGAGAGAGAGAGAGAGAGAGAGAGAGAGAGAGAGAGAGAGAGAGAGAGAGAGAGAGAGAGAGAGAGAGAGAGAGAGAGAGGAGAGAGAGAGAGAGAGGAGAGAGAGGGCAAGGCAATAGCATGATGAGAGAGCGGTTGGAGAGCAGAGAACGCATGGCGGCCCCCACCACGAGTGCATACGCCCACTCGTCCAGGGGACTCCCCAGCGCTTCCAGCCGTTGTATGATGCTGGTGGCGGGAGGAGGGTGGGGGGAGAAAGAGAGGGGGAGAGAGGGAGGGAGGGAGGTGATTTTCCTGCATTCACCACTCCGCCTGTCCAGAATCGAATCACCATGCATTGCAAACCACCCAACCCCCTTTCCGGGCCCTTTCTCTCCACCCCTCTCCTACTCCCCCCCCCCACACACCCACCTGTTTAACGCCGAGTGGTCGCCCCATTATGCATACAACCCCGCAACACGCGCTGCCAAGTCGCCAGACCCGCACCCCTTCTGCTGCACCACGCCCCACTTTCTGACTACCAAGCAACCACGTCCTCCCATTCTGACTGCCAAGCAAGCACGTCCTCCCTTTCTTACCCGCGGAGCAAGGGTTGGTCTCCCCAGTACGCATACAGCCCTGCAACACTGACCGCCAGGTCGCCAGGCACAGGCGCCCCCTGCTGCACCACGCCCCACAGCGCCCATTTCTCCCCTCACCCTCCTTACCTCCACCACGCCCCACAGCGCCCATTTCTCCCCTCACCCTCCTTACCTCCACCACGCCCCACAGCGGCCGCTCCGCCTGCTCAGGATGCCCCTGTTCGCACGTCCCCACCCTTACCTGTGAAGAGAGAGTTGGTCTCCCCAGTGAGCATACATACATCCCCGCCACACTAGCCGCCAGGTCGCCAGACACGCTTCCCCCCTGCTGCACCACGCCCCACAGCGACCCATTTCTCCTGAGTCGACTCAAAAGTCACCTCGCTTCCCCCCTGCTGCACCACGCCCCACAGCGACCCATTTCTCCTGAGTCGACTCAAAAGTCACCTCGCTTCCCCCCTGCTGCACCACGCCCCACAGCGACCCATTTCTCCTGAGTCGACTCAAAAGTCACCTCGCTTCCCCCCTGCTGCACCACGCCCCACAGCGACCCATTTCTCCCCTCACCCTCCCTCCTTACCTGTTTAGCCCCGTGTGGTCGCCCCAGTAGGCGTACAGCCCTGCAACACTGGCAGCCAAATCCCCAGGTACAGGCGCCCCCTGCTGCACCACGCCCCACAGTGCGCGCTCCGCCTGCTCGGGGTGGCCCGCGTTGAACCACAGCGTCACCAGCTTCCCCTGCATGCCCGCCTGCGCCCGCGCTGCTGCCACCTCCCCCGCTTGCAGCACCCACAGGTCTCTTTCCCTCTCCCGCTCTAGCCTCTGAATTTCCCTGCTCCTCTTCCTCTCCCTCTCCCTCTCCTTTTCTGACTGTTGTACCCTTCTCAATCGCTCTAGCTCCTCCCGATATAAGTTCTGACTCGCTTCATGAAACCTCCCCCTCCCTCTCACCCTCTTCATCTCCTCTATTCTTTGCATCTCCCTCTGCCCTTCCCCCTCCTGCTGCCTCAACTGTACAACTGACTCTGCCTCTGACTCTGCCTCTGACTCTGACTCTGCCTCTGCCTCTGACTCTGCCTCTGACTCTGCCTCTGCCTCTGCCTCTGACTCTGCCTCTGCCTCTGCCTCTGCCTCTGCCTCTGACTCTGCCTCTGCCTCTGCCTCTGCCTCTGCCTCTGCCTGTGCTGGAGCAAGTTCCCCTAAAAGTAGCAACTGCTGCTCCCTCTCCCTCTCCCTCTCCCCCTCCCCCTCCCCCTCCCTCCCCTTCTCTAACCTCTGCGTCCCTCGTTGCACTTCCGATTCACCCTCCCACTGCACCTCTCCTTTTCTGTTTCGTTGCAGGTCCAGCAGCAACGAAGACTCATCACGCTCTTGCGAGCCTATTCTGTATCCCTCCTCTTCTTCCCTCATGCCTCCCCCACTCAACAGCCCTGGTGACAGCCCAGCAATCTGAGCATCTCGCCACAAAAATACCCTTCCATCCACCTCCTCTGCTACTTGCTGGTACGGCTGTGCCTCTCGCCCGTTCACCTCGTTTCCCCCTTTGCCCGCCTGTCCAAGCACTGCTAGCCGCTCCTCCCGCTGCCTCTCTCTCTCGCAGACAGCCTCCCTCAGTCTTTGCAGGTCGCCCTCGCACTCCTCTGCACACCACTGCACCACTTGCTCTGCCTCGTGCCTCAGTGTTGCCCCGTGAACCTGCATGCGTGCAAATGGCAGGGACAAGGGGAGAATTGGGAGGTGGGCACTGAGAGGAGGTTGTTGAGAGTATCGCTTTAAACGATGGCTGAAAACCTGCCTCGTGCTGCAGCGTTGCCCCTGCATGGGTGCAAGTAAAGGGACAAGGGGAGGATTGAGCAGGGGAGGATTGAGCAGGGGAGGATTGAGCAGGGGAGGATTGAGCAGGGGAGGATTGAGCAGGGGAGGATTGAGCAGGGGAGGATTGAGCAGGGGAGGATTGAGCAAGGGACATTGAGAGGAGGTTGTTGAGAGTCTGCTTTGGGATGTGCCTGAAAACCTGCCTTGTGCTGCAGCGTTACTCCAAGGACCTGTGTGTGCAAGTGGCAGGGACAGAAGGTTCGAGAGGCGGGCATTGAGAGGGGGGCATGGATAGGGGGGCAGTGGGAGGGGGGCATTGAGAGGCGGGCAGTGTTCTTAAAGCGCCTCAGAAGTTGGTTAGTGCTGCAACGTTGCCCTGTGGACCTACATGTGCAAGTGACAGAGAGGGGAAAATTGAGAGGGGGGCATCGAGAGGAGGAGGACACTGAAAGAAGGGGACTGAGAGGACGGGACTGAGAGGACGGGACTGAGAGGAAGGGATTGAGAGGAAGGGATTGAGAGGAAGGGATTGAGAGGAAGGGATTGAGAGGAAGGGATTGAGAGGAAGGGATTTTCACTCCTATAGCAGATGTTTGTCCCATCAGACCCATCCTTTGGTCCACCCAAAGCAGAATCGTCCAGTCTGGTCACTCACCTCCAGCAGAAGTCCCTCCAGAGGCGACAGCTGCCCCACCACGCCCATCTGCTGCAATGGCATTCCTTGAGTGCAGCCCCATCCCGCATCATTCAACTGTCACCACTCCCTTTACGCGCCTAGTAGGATCACCTCCAGTAGAAGCCCGTCCAGAGGCGACAGCTGCCCCACCACGCCCATCTGCTGCAATGGCATTCCTTGAGTGCAGCCCCATCCCGCATCATTCAACTGTCACCACTCCCTTTACGCGCCTAGTAGGATCACCTCCAGTAGAAGCCCATCCAGAGGCGACAGCTGCCCCACCACGCCCATCTACTGCAATGGCATTCCTTGAGTGCAGCCCCATCCCGCATCATTCAACTGTCACCACTCCCTTTACGCGCCTAGTAGGATCACCTCCAGTAGAAGCCCATCCAGAGGCGACAGCCGCCCCACCACGCCCATCTGCTGCAAATCCCTCAACTCCTCGTCCCTCTATCACCTTATCACTCAGTACTCACCTCACCGCCTGCCCTGACCGCCTGCCTATCTATGCTCACCTCCAGTAGAAGCCCGTCCAGAGGCGACAGCTGCCCCACCACGCTCATCTGCTGCAAATCCCTCAACTCCTCGTCCCTCTATCACCTTATCACTCAGTACTCACCTCACCGCCTGCCCTGACCGCCTGCCTATCTATGCTCACCTCCAGTAGAAGCCCTTCCAGAGGCGACAGCTGCCCCACCACGCCCATCTGCTGCAGATCCCTCAACTCCCTCCGCGCCACACTCAGCTTCTCCTGCTCCTTCACCGCACCGGTCAGCACCGCACCGAACCCCGCCACGCCCACCTCCACCCCGGCTTCTCTCAGCATGCGCGGCAGCGGCAGCACCTGCCGGTACTGCCCAGCGCTAACAGCTCGCAGCAGCAGCAGCCCCACTAGATCCTCCCTCTCCTCTGCTGCTCTCATCGCCGCTTCTTCTTCCCCCACTGCCGCTACTGCCGCCTCTGCTGCTGCCTCTGCTGCTCGCATCACAGCTGCTTCATCCCCCTCCCTCTCTGCTTCTGCCTCTCTTGACTTTGACTCTCTGCCTGCCTGCTTCCCTTCCTGCCCCTGCCCTCTTTTCGCCTCATTCGCCCCTCCTGTGCTAGCGCCTCTGCTGCTGTCCTCAGTACCTGCAGCTCTGCTGCTCTGTTGTTGTTCAGACCGCACCCCACTCCTTTCCACACCTGACAATCGCACATCTTGCCTCCTTGACTCAGCTGCTCCCATGCCCACCCCTGGACCCGGTATTCTCTGTATAACCATCTCCTCGCAGCTGCTACCGCTGCTGCTGTTACTGCTGAAGCTGCTGCTCTGTTTGCCGTTGGTGCTGCCGCTGCTGCAGCTGCTACTCCCAGTGGCTCCACGGTCGCTCGCTCGCACGAGCAGCTGCAGCTTCAGCCGCTCCTGAATCTCCTGCCGCGCGCTCCTCTGGGCACTCTCATGCTGCGGGGCTGCACGCAAGAGATGGATGGCGGGAGGGCGGGAGGGAGCGAGGGACGGAGGGAGGGAGGGAGGGAAAGAGGGAGGGAGGGAGGGAGGGAGGGAGGGAGGGAGGGAGGGAGGGCAGGAGGGAGGGAGGGAGGGAGGGCAGGAGGGAGGGAGGGAAAGAGGGAGGGAGGGAGGGAGGGAGGGAGGGAGGGCAGGAGGGAGGGAGGGACGGAGGGAGGGAGGGAAAAAAGAAGAATTCTTTTTAGGCGGCTCAGCAATCGCATGATGCAAGGCTGTAAGAGAGCGAGGGTTGGGGGGAGGGGGGTGAGGGAGGGAGGATGGAGAATCCATGGGGTGAGAGAGGTTCGAGGCGTGAGAGGGAAGGGTGTGGGAAGCACTGGCAGCAGAGCGAGGGAGACCTGGAAAGCGAATGACGGCAGGAACAAGCGAGAGACTGATGGAAAGAGAAAGCAGTGAGGGGAGAGGTGGTGAGGAGGAAGAAGAGGGGGTGCGGGTGGGAGCAGGGTGGGGGCGGGGCCGGGGCAAGGGCGGGAGGGGTTGGGTTTGAGAGATGTGGAGGAGGTGAAAACGGGAAAGGTGGTGAGAGAGGGGGAGGCGGGCGGGAGGGCGGGGGAGGAATGAGAATGTGTTACCTTGAGTTGCGCAATCAGATGGCCGTGCCTCGCCATCTTTCTGCCCACCACTACCAATCTCCACCTCATCCTCACTCTCACTTAACCCAGTCCACACACTCCCCTCCTCACTTTCCTCCCATTCTTCATCCTCTTCCTCCTCATCCTCCTCCTCATTCCAAGCCATAACTCTCACTCCAGCCACCACCCCCTGCTCCTTCCGCGCGCTTTCCTCCTCGTTCCGGAACATTCTCAGAAGCTTCACGACTTCCGCCACCGCCCCTCTATCCCACAACTCCTCCCCCACCATTCTTTTCAGCGGGAAATCCGGGGGCAGCCCGAGATCCACCATTCTGCCCACCAGCCGCAAAACTTTTTCCGTCGGGCAGCCTTCCTGTAGCAGCTGCCCGAGGCGCTGGTCCATGATGACGTGGATAAGGCGCCGCGTTCGGCGCTCCACGCGGTTCCCGCGGACCATCCAATCGTACACCTCGAGCGCCTGCCACATGTCGCGACCCTGTTGGGCGAAGTAGGCGATGAGAATCTCGAGATCCTCTAGAGATAGCTTGTCCTGTTACCAGGCGGGAGGAAGGGAGGAAGAGACGGAGGGAGGGAGGGGAAGTGACGGGGGAGAGACGGGGGAGACACGGGGAAGGCGAGAGGGGGGAGAAGATCTGGTAATGTTATTATGTAGGATAGAAGGAAGACACGGGGAAGAGAGAAAAGATGCGAGAGGGATGGGAGGGTAGGCAACCGGTTGAAACAGTGGATAAGGAATCTCGAGATCTTCGAATGAGAGCTTGTCTTGTTAGCGAGTGGGGGAGGGAAGGGGACAGGAAAGGGGGAACGCGGGACACGGCATGTGGAAGGCGGGATTCCGCGAGTACTCAAAAGTCCAAATGGACAAAAGATGATGATGGGCATCTCGAGATGGTTAAGAAAAAGAGAGCTTATCCTGTTTCCATGTGCGACGGAGGGACACGGGAGTGTGCGGGAGAAGAAGGGGAGGGTAAGCAAGAGACCAGGTAGAAACAGATGATGCGGATCTCGAAATGCTCGAGGGATAGCCTGACCTGCTTCCAGACGCTATACCCCCGTTATCATCACATACACCCAACGTTATTACTATCGCCTATGTACTATCTTGCACCTCCATGCTATCTAGCACGGCTGCAGGCTCGCGCATCATGGCTTGCAGTTGCCGCACCGCCTCCATCACTGCCACCGACCGCCACGTTCCCCCCAGTATTGTCACATACACTATACACCCACCGCTATTGTCACCTTCATACAGTCACGTACCTTCATGCTATCAAGAACGGCCGCCGGCTCGCGCATCATGGCTTCCAGTTGCCGCACCGCCTCCATCACTGCCACCGATCGCCGCCATCCCTGCCCCTCCGAACCTACTGCTAGCTCCAATCCCGTTCCTCCCAAACCTGGACGCAGTCCCGAACCTGATCCCGCGTCGGCAGTTGCCATGGTTGCTACAGTGACTCCGCGCCTACACGCGAGTCGTTGGTAACCTGATAACGGATGGTATGGTTGACGGAAAGGGTATCTGCTGTGGTAACCCGAACAAAAATGTTCGCTATTGAGGCTGCTGCGAAATGTTACAGGTTCGATACCACTGCTTCTCAGGGAGCCGCGAATACGTTGCGTGGTTCGCGAGCCCAAGGGAGCGGACGAAATGGTCGACTCTAAATTCGCGCAACAAAGAGACTCGGATCCTGTCGCACAGGGTCGTGATGCGAGCGACGTCGCCCGCCGTCGCCTTCTGTTTTGTCGCCCAGAGGGACTCAAGACGACATAAGAAGCGGAGACGCTGGTGGCGCTGACGTGTCCGATGACATTCCTGCTGGGAAACCTAGACGAGGTGGGCTGACAGGCTGTGGAAGTCGCGCAACTGACGGCGATCTGACGAGTCAGCGACATGCTGGTAACCTGTGTACGCGTTTTTCTCTTCCTTGCTGCACTGATATGTCCCTCGCTAAATAGTACGTGTAGGCGTGGTAAGATTGATGAGCGGGGGAAATCAACGGCTAGCTCGTCTTCAAATGATCTCCATCACCCTGTGATTGTTAAGAAACAGCCAGTTGCGTCTGACAAGGCGGCGAACGACCGAGTGACAGCGAGATCAGAATACCCTGGGCGATTGGACGAAATAGCTCAAAAGGACAGACAGAACGTGCCACTCATTGACCACAAATGTATTATTGACTGACCGCTGACCGTACTATGGTATGGTACCGCGGCTGATCTATTCTCGTCGGCTATATGCAGACCGTCTGAACCAAAACTCTTCAACTAAACGAGTGAGAAGGCGAAAATAGTGGCTGGAGATCGGAATGGGTATTTCCAACGAGGTGAGTTGAAGCATATAGTTTGCTCCTGCGCGGGAATGGACTGCTTGGAATATTTTCACTAGGAACTCCCAACCCAAGGGCGACGTGGAAGCAAGACACAAAGCGAGGGAAGGGAGAATTGTGCTCAATCCCGTGGAAGCGCGGTTTGGTTTATTTTCGCCACGTGGCGAGCCTATGATCGCGTGAACCGCGATCTGTTTTATTGTTATCACAAACTACTAGAGAAATTTAGTTAAGTTCTGTACTGCGCTGCCCGCGGGCAAAAATAAAACCCCTATAGGTAAGGCATGCGTTAGGGATGCATCAACCCTAAACACCTAGAGGCAAGGCATTTAGGGTTGATGCCTCCCTAACGCATGCCAGGCACGAATGGATTTTATTTTTGCCCACGGGCAGCAGAGTACAGAACTTCTCCTTAAGTTTGTGATAACAATAAAGCAGATCGCGGTTCACGCGATCGAAGGCATGCCACGTGGCGATAATAATACGAACCGCGATTCCGCGGGATTGAGCAAAACTCTGGAGGGAAGGCGCGTAGGAAAGTGGAGGGGGCTGGCTCTGTGCTTGCGTAAGGTCGCCCCCACCAGCCCTAGAACGCTCATTCGACTCGACAGCCATGGCGGTTCGTTGGTGTGTGATCTGTGAGGAGATCCGCGTCAGCAAGTGATGATGCCAGAAGAGAGGGTCCATAAAACTCCCTAAACTACCCTACCCTTATTTTGGGTTATTGGACGACAACACTCCCCCAACACATAGCTCAAGATGTAGTCACGCTCCCAGAACGTAACTACGTTAAAAGGCTCTGGCTTTCATAGAAAACGTAGGTATTTTACACCCCTTTTCAGTGCAGCACATTCCGAGCGGAACAAGTAGGCCGAGAATGATGACGTGGCAAACGTCCAGGTGGAAGGTGCTTCACCTCGCTGGAAAGCTGGAAAACCAGTGACATTGCGGCGGAAGAGCCAAGTGGCAACGGGCAGAAGGTGCAAAGGTGGCGTGCCGTCGCTCGTTCGTGCGGCGCACCCTCGTTGGTTGGATGACTTCGAGAGCCACATATCCATCTGTGGACCCCTAAAGTAGAAAGACAACCTGAATGTGTACACCATGTTGATAGTGTAGCCAGTTAATCTATCCCATCATCTCACTATAAATCAAGTTATGGATTGTGCGACCTAGAAGAACCCGACCTGAGTCCTAGTTCACCTCGTTTGGGCCTTATATGCAACCAAGTTTTAGTGTGATGTCATTTCCTCTGGTCCTCATTTAAAAATACAGAATGCTGTTTTATTATATCCGGTTGATTCTGTTTGTGCAAATCTGTGTGCAAGACAATTTTCCAGGAAACAAAAAAAGTTACACTTCATTTACTCGGTTCCTCTTATAGCGAACCCACATCTTCCCAATGTTTTTTCCCGCCATGAGACCCAATTCTCCGGCGAAAAGGTTGAATATAGAGTAACCATAATCAGGCCCTCGCCAAGCTATCTGCCTCTGCCAACCAAGCATGATTGCACCCTGATTCTCGCTCACTGCACAACCCCACCAGGCGATTGCCCTGGCTGGCTATCTCAGCTTCCTCAGAGCTGCCTTCCACGTGGCATATCAGTATCGAATGAGATGCAGTGTTGTCAGTGCAGTCTCTCAAACGGTGCAGTGAGTAGTCATGTGGTTCCGCTCACTTCAAATTTCCAAGACATGTACTTCATCCTCTCGTCTCTTGCCTTGTGACGTATTGCTATCCACCAATCGAATCAGGGTCTCGAGTGGAGATAGTAATCCACTGTCATGTCAAGTTCTAGGCCATGTTGAACAGCACGTCCCTGCAGCATTTCTTGGCTGCTAATCGAGCACCTCAGAGTCGTTCTCACCGTGGCCATTTCTTTCACGTGATTATTTCTCGCGTTTCGTGCTCAGCACCATGGATGTTTATGTAAATGAAGCAGTGTAGTACCATCATAGAATATCCTACTAGGTGAACGGTACTTTGCCGTAGATTTTCGCCCATCTTGCAATCGTAAATTTTCGTTCCAATGCTCAGAATCGCACAGTGTGTACTATCATACAATATCGATCCGACGTGGAAGGCAATGATGCTGGCAGGTCCCCTGTCGTCCACTAGCAATCGCACACTGCAGAGGTTCCGTGAAGTCAGCAAATAAATTTATCGAACTCGGCCTGAGGTCCTCCGCTGTGATGATGGCGGCGTATCGCGTCTTGTCCGGCCCATCGGGTCAAACTCGTCTCTGCCGCATTCAGTTCAGATCATGCTATCCCTCTTGTTTGGCGAGTTCGCGCGCATCGCTGGAGGACAGGGGCCAGGGATGAAGCGAGGGAAATTCTCACTTGGGGCCTTCGCAGTGCATCGTTTTTGTATATTACAATGCGTGAATATCGCTGCTTTCTCATTCATCCATCTCGTCACGAGATCTCAAAAGTGATGCGTCTCGCCAGTGCGTTGCATCTCACCCAGTGACCAGATTCTACTGCTTTTGCGTTTTAGGTGCAGCGATATTACCTCCTAGTTGGTGACGGGATGTGCCATCACGTAAGGGCCAGCCGCTCCCAGCGTTACTCCCCTACAACTCCGCGAACCACCACGATGCATTCAGTCATGGAGCTTCGCGATTTCTATCCGCCACACTGGATAGAAGAGCAGCAGCAGGAATGGGAGTTTGACGATTGGATGGACACGTCCGCATCGTTTGCGCTGAATCGTCTGCCGGTGCTCTCAGGCAGCTCCGCCGCGCAACCTCCCCGCGCCACCCCCGCCGCGTCCGCTCCTCGCGGCAAAAGTTCCGCCTCCCGTCGACGCGGGGACGAGCCAACGGTTACCCACCGCCGTGCGCTTTCCGCCGACTCTCACGCGTGCGGGGGACGGCTCTTGCTGCCCTCGCCTCCCCGCGGGGACAAACCCGCCGCCTGCGCGTTCCGCCGCCGCTGCCACCATCTCGCGCATTCCAAGCAACCCCCGTCTGAAGCGAGCCTGGCCGCTGCTGGCATGGTCTTTGAAGCTCCGGCATCAACAAAATGTTCCTCCTCCATCATGAAGAGATCTGAATTCTTCAGAAGCAGGAGCATGTTTTCCTTCCCTGGAAACGAAAGCGTGAAGAAGCAGCATGTTTATGGTACTGAGGATACCACGCCGTCGCCTCGGGTCTTCGCGAGGAGTAAAAAGTATTCCACACCAGTGACTGTTGTGGCCCTACACTCACTGGCGCCTCAAGGAAAGCCAGACGAGTCATTTCTGGCATATTCTCACGCAGCAGCGCAGACAGCATCAGATAAAGCAGCACAGGCAAGGCAAGATCAGATGCTACAGCACATGCGGCATCATGCATAGTTAGCAGATAGGCAAGGTCGTTCTTCTGGCGGATTCGCCCCAATGGATGCCATGCTGGAAACAATGCCAGAACACTCAGTGCCAAGTCCAGCAGCAGCACCCCTGTTTCTCCTGCTCCTCTGCCTCATCCTCGGCTTTACAAACTTACAGCAGCAGCAGCAGCAGCAGCAGTGCCCCTTCCTCTCCTTGCCTCCGGCTGCTGCCTTGCACCAGGCCCTGGGGCACCAGCAGTTTACCCACCAGCAGGTGGGGCCGGGGCTGAGATTGGGGGTACCAACCAACCAGTGCCTGTGAAGCCATGCCTCACCGTTTCCCCCTGCGCTTGCAGCTCGGACGCAGGCTCGCCCAGCAGGAGTCTCCCAAGCTCGTGCGCTTTGTGAAATACGTTGAGATTTTGGAGTAGCACAGGGAGATTAATATCCCATCTAAGTGCTCACGTGTTGGTGTATGTGTGGTTGAGTAATTGGTGAGCTCTAGCAACTAGACCAAGCAGTCTAGCAACTAGGGGACGGGCAGCTGTGGGGTTGGGCTACTCCAGCGGACGCCCAGATCGTGTTTATGGCGTGTCTTGAATATGCAGCAGCACCTACCGTATGTGCATTGCTCTTGAAAACGATCACAAACATCCCGCCACTACCAGTTTATTGTTGTGAGACAAATTTTGCCCTTAGAAGGGTTCGTTTTGGCCCCTGCGGGGAATAGATAGCAAGGTAGTGTACTTTCTGGTACCTTGCTCAGTTTGTTGTTTCCTGCAAGGTTTTATTTGAAAACACTCC